CATGTGCCCTGACCGGGAATCGAACCTTGATCTCCTGGATCATAGGCCGATGCTCAACTGCTGAGCCACACCAGCCAGGCAAGTCTTCCTAACTTTTTTAAAAGTCTCAGTGATTGTATTTTTAAATTATATTTTTAGAGGCACATATGGTAGTATTTATTTTCTCTGCTGATAAAAATTTTAAATCTACAGCATTTTGTCCATTAGTATTTTTAGAACTGTAGCAGAGGTTTAAAAAATCCCAAGGGTTTTATGAACATTAAAAAAAAGTAGTCTTTTTATTTTATGAGAATGTGATTATTTAGGATATTTTAATTGTAATCAAAGTTAAACTTTAGAACCCCTCCCCTTCCCAAATCTGAATAAACTACCTGCTTAGTAAAACTAAAGCCACAGGATAACAAGAGGTTTTAAAAGTTATAACAGAGATGCAAATCCAAGAAAAATTTGTTCACCAGTGACAGTGAATAACTTTGGGTTAGAATGGAATCCAGTTCCGGTGTGTGAAGCTGTACTAAATTTACCTAATCTTTCTCTCCTTGTTTTTCACAATAAAATAAGGCTGTATTAATCTGTCTTCTAGGTTTGTGTTGAATAATAACTAAAATTATTACTTTAAAGCCTTGCATATATAAAATATATGAATAAAAAATGGAATACAAAAGACTTTTTGTAAATAATCCCCTAAATCAATTGAGAATGTTAATGATAATTTAAGAGCATATTATTTTTTATAGTTACTTAAACAGCAATTTAACAAAAATGTTAAATGGTGATTTTTAAATCAACGGTATCAAATAGATCAGCTTATGAATTATTATCCTATCAGGGTTGAACACATAAAGTGTAATAAAGACTGAATAAGCCCTAGCCTGTTTGGCTCAGTGGTTAGAGTGCCGGCCCCCACACTCAAGCATGGTGGGTTCAATTTCCCGGTCAAGGGCGTGGACCTGGGTTCCAGGTTTGATCCCTGGCCCGGGCCAAGTGTGGGAGGCAACCAATCTATGTGTCTCACATCAATGTTTTTCCCTCTCTCTCTCCCTCCCTCCCTTCCGCTCTCTAAAAAAATCAATGGAAAAAAATATCCTCAGGTGAGAATTAACAACAACAAGCAAACAACAAAAAAGGACTGCATAAATATTTCAATAGAAAAAAATCATAATTTTGTTACATGGCAGTATATTTTATAAGTCTTGGAGTTTTAAAATAATGGCTCTACAGGTCAGAGGAAAGTGCTTTATTTCAGAATAACTTGTTTGGATAAATTTAATTGTTAATAAAATTAAGGTGACTTATTTTCATTTCATAGTATCATAATTACAGTCTGGTTTGTACTATTATTATTTATTATAGTAAGCAACTTTGATTCTTGAGAATCAAGAATTCTTGAGAATCATTTCATGATGAACTTTATTATTACAAATTTGTGATTTTTATTTTTACTGTGCTGTTTGAATTTTAGTAGCAACATTTTCAGAAGTCATGAAATTATACCCTGTTGCCCTCTTTTACTTCCTTCTTTGCCTGTTAGAAAACAGTTATTGACCATGAATATCAAGTACTTACTTGTATTTAAAAAGCAGCTTGGTGATTATATTCCAGATAAAAGTAAAACTAGGACCACACTTTTGAGTAGTACCATACATATGAAAAGGCCTAGAGACACTAACTGTAGTTTTAAAATAGTCACTTGTATTGGAGCAAAATGCTGAAATTGCTTTTCAACCTAAGCTTACTATCTATAGTGTTCTTTTTAACACTACTGTTTATCAGCAATAAAATCAATTGAATAATTGTTGTATTCTACATGAAGTCTGTGCTGTAGTCACAGAGTCATTTATCACAAAAATAGTGTGATTTCCAGGAAAGAGTTTGTCAGTATACACAAAAGAACATGTAAATGAAACTTCTTCAGTGTCTATAGACTAGGAAAAACCAGCTAGGTTAAGTGACCCTTTATATATTGGCTATTCATGTTACCTGAAGCATTTGAACATTTGACTTAGTTGTTTTACCTGACCCTTTTGTTTTCATGTTACATTAAATTAGATTTGTTTTTTTAAAAAAGAAAAGGTGTGTAACCCATCGTTTCTAGTTTATTAATGGCTTCCTGTTAGAAATATTAAAATCATTTGAAAAGGAACCACCTTACATTTAGAATTTAGCAACGGTTACTTTATTCTCAGTAATAGAATCACTGAAGTGATCTCTACTTTTAAGTATTTATCTGAAAAGTCAGAAACTTGTATAATATCAGCATCCACTGACACTTGGATAGTTTGTGTCCTTAGAAGGATAGTTTAGTAGTAAAGTTCTGATTTTCATAAGCAAGAGTTAATTTTTCAAATAATCTGTGGTTTGTTTTTCATATTTATGCTGCTTCTTTCCTGGTTGCTTCCTCTTACTTCTCTCTCTTTTTTTTATTCAATATTTGTATATACCACAGAGTGATTACCAAAATAAGTCTAGTTACCATCACCAACATAGTTATGGAAATTTTTTTGTTTGTGATAAGAACTTTTAAGATTTATTCTCTTAGCAACTTTCAAATATGCACTATAGTATTAACTAACTATAGTCACCATGCAATACATTACATTCCCATGACTTGTTTATTTTATAACTGGAAATTTGTACCTTTTGATCCCCTTCACCTCTCTTGCCCCCCTCCCATTCCCCACCTCTACCAACCACCAATCTGTTCTATGAGCTTGGTGGTGGTTTTTTTATATTCCACATATAAGTGAGATGATACAGTGTTTGTCTTTCTCTGTCTCACTTATTTCACTTAGCATAACGTCTCAAATGGCAAGATTTCATTCTTTTTTATGGCTGAATAATATTTCATATAGATCACATTTTTTATCCATTTAGACAGCAACGGACACTTAGGTTGTTTCCATATCTTGGCTGTTGTAAATAATGCTGCAGTGAACTTGGAGTACAGACATCTTTTCGAGTTAGTGTTTTCATTTTTTTCAGATAAATAACAAGAAGTGGGATCACTGTATCATATGGTAGTTCTATTTTTAAAATTTTGAGGAACCTCCGTACTGTTTTTCATAGTGGCCACACCAGTTTGCATTCCTGCCAACCGTGCACAAGGAACCCCTTTTCTCCACACCCTCACCGACACTTGTAATTTTTTGTCTTTTTGCTAATAGTCATTCTAGCAGGTGTGAGGTGATATTTCATTGTGGTTTTTATGTTGCATACTCTTGATGATTAGTGATGTTGAGAAACTTTTCATATACCTGTTGGCCATCTGTATGTCATACTTGGAAAAATGTCACTTAAGAGATCCTCTGCCCATTTTTAAAATGGAATTGTTTGGTTTTCTGCTATTGTGTAGTATGAGTTCTTTATATATTTTGGATACTAACCTTTTGCCGGATATATTGCTTTCTCCCATTCAGTAGGTTGCCGTTTTCATTCTGTTGATGATTTCCTTTGCTGAGCAGAAGCTTTATAGTTTGATGTGGTCCCTCTTGGATTTTACAACCTATCCTTTCTCCTGGCAGTTGTATGGTTTCGGGTCTTATATTTAAGTCTAATCAAGTTTGAGTTAATTTTTGTACACGATATAAGATAGTGGTCCAGTTTTATTATTTTGCATGTGGCTGTCTAGTTTTCCCAACACAATTTATTGAGGAGACTGTCCCTTCCTCATTGTCTGTTCTTGGATCCTTTGTTGTAAATTAATTGACCACATATGCATGGGTTTATGTCTGGGCTCTCTGTTCCGTTCCATTGATCTGTGTGTCTATTTTTATGCCAATACAATACTGTTTTGATTACTACAGCTTTGTAATGTATAGGGTGGGGCAGAAGTAGATTTATAGATGTTAGCATGTGAAACATAGAGTTTATTCTTGTATTATTATTTTTAAATTATTGTATTATTTTGCATATGATCAACTGTAAACCTACTGTTGCCCCACCCTGTAGTTTGAAATCAGGGAGCTTGATGTGTCCAGCTGTCTTCTTTTCTTTCTCAAGATTGCGTTGGCTATTAAGGGTCTTTGTGGTTCCATATAAATGTTCGAATTATTTGTTTTAGTTCTGTGAAAAGTGCCATTGGAATTTTGATAGGGATTACGTTGAATATGTAGATTGCTTTGGGTAGTATGGACATCTTAACAATATTAATTCTTCCAGTCCATGAGCACGGAATATCTTTTAATTTATATTTGTCTTATTTTTTTTGTTTCTATCATCGATGTTGTATAGTTTTCAGTGTCTTTTAGTTTTTTTATAGGTTCCTTTATGGTAATTTGACTGGGGGAATTAGTGATGCAAGTAGTGGGACCATCACTTCATCATTTCTTTCCTCTACATTATTTATGTAGTCGTTTCAACACAAGGCTTTCAAAGGACTATGTCGTCTTCGTGACCCTTATCAGCCTATTTCCCATGATGCCTGGATAATTTCTTGACATTCTTGCAATTTAAAACTCCTTTGAATTATCTTGTTTTTTATCTTAATGGTATTTTCACACTTTTTAAGTTAAGTATCAGTAAATTAAGTATTTTAATCTCATTGGATTTTTCACAAACTGAACACATTTATGTAATTAGTATGCAGAATATGAAATGGGATGTTGCTCAGCCAGGTGTGGCTCAGTGGTTGAGCATCGAGCTAGGATCCAGGAGATCGAGGTTCGATTCCCGGTCAGGGCACATGTCTGGGTTGTGGGCTCGATCCCCAGTCGGAGGCCTGCAGGAGGCAGCCGATCAACGACTCTCTCATCATGGATGTTTCTCTCTCTCTCTCTTCCTCTCCTTTCCTCTCCAAAATCAATAAAGATATATTTGAAAAAAGAAAAATGGGATGTTACTAGCACCCGTGTATTACTGAATTTTATTTAGTTCTGTGTATGTGTGCACGTTGTTTCCTTTCTCCTCAGGCACTAATTCTTTTGTATTTATTTCCTTTCTGTTTTTCTTTTATGACTAAATGGAATCAAAGTAGCGATTCATAGCTTGATCAGAGTGCTTCATGAATGCATGGCCATGTTTGCTGTATAGAATACCATTACTAATGTGGAACAGTAACTTAACCTTTTTAAATTTTGTTTTCCTTTTACCCTCCACCCCTGTAAAATTTCATGCTGTGATTGCCTTTCATCATTGATCCAAAAGTACACACTCATTTAGAAATGGTTTCCTTTGTTTTTCAGTGTGTAAATTCAAGGCCCACAAAAGGTGTGCAGTGAGGGCCACAAATAACTGCAAGTGGACGACCCTGGCCTCGGTTGGGAAGGACATCCTGGAGGACGAAGACGGGGTAGGCCCTCTGTCTGCTCTCTCCCCAGCGCCTCTTCTCTCTCTTTCTGCCCAGTGGAAAGTAAGGACAGCGTTAAGCGGGAGCGTTTGCTGTTAGTATTGAATGGGAGAATTTGGTTAATTATGAGTTTTTATTTTCAATTAGATCCTTCATAGGCTCCTTCAGCTCTTCAATTTTAATGGAAATGTGAATAGGGCTTAGGAGTGGTGGTTGTGCTGGGCTGGTGGTGTCGACCCTCACCTGACCCACTAAGGTGTTTTTTAAGGCTCACTTCAGCTATTTTCTCAGATCTTTATTCTTCAGACTTTGGGGCCTCCTCTCAACAGTGCCCCCTCCTTCAAATCTTTCTCCATTTTACCTTGTGTATAGAATAGCACTTTGTGATCTCTGTGATGATGCCTTTTCCGTGCCTTTCTCCTCACCTAGACTACAAATCTTGAAGGCCAGGGATCTAGTCTTACCTATCTTTGTACCTCTGTAGTGCTTGGGGCATAGTACATGCTCAATAAATGTGGGGTGAATAAATGTATGCCATGAATTATGTATATTATTGATTTCATGGGGTAAGAAATAGTTGTATATCTTCCTCGGGTAGGAATGGTGCCCTCCACAGTCTTTAATTTCACTCTTTCATTCCTGCTGCGCAGGTGGCGATGCCTCACCAGTGGCTAGAGGGTAACTTGCCTGTGAGTGCCAAGTGTGTTGTCTGTGACAAAACGTGTGGCAGTGTTCTTCGTCTACAGGATTGGAAATGCCTTTGGTGTAAAATGATGGTGAGGGTCCTTTTCTGTTAGCTTCTTTTCATAACTTTTACATGTATGTGATTTAGAGGCAAATAATTTATGTTCATCTTTTTCACGATGTATTCCTTCCAGCCTGGTTACTTTTTCAAATATCCTTTTTGTAATACTTACTCTTACATATCCTTTGTCTAAAGATCTCTTTCCCACAGTTTTATTGTTTTTCATTATGCTTTAGTCCTATTCAGTGGCTTGCTATTTTCAGACCTGTTTTACTATGTGTAGCATATAGAAAGCATCAAATTTTGATTGACCTACAAAATGTAATTTTGCTACAATGCTGTCTATGTTCTCTGACTGAGTGCCAAGTTCAGTAGGCCACATGTTGAACTCGGCATTTAATTAAATATTTTAAAACTTTCTTGCACGTGCAAGAAAGAGGAGACGCGACGTATCGTAGAGCCAGTGGGAAGTTCATCTGTGCTGGACCGAGGACTGGGCCTCCGCACTGCCTGAGGGCAGTCAGAGCAGGAACTCAAGGGGAGCTAGGGCCACTCAGAGGTGGCGGGGGCTAAAAGATGGCAGGGCAGGGTGGCAATAACTGAGTCCTTATCTTAGCTCTGGGTGACGCTGTGCAGCTATGACAGTGCTTGCCTTGCATCGGGGCTGATTTGTTTGTTTTGTTTTGAGTCTTAGAAGTCAGCTCACCTACTACTCCCAAAAGGGTCGGGGGGGGAATTATTGCTTTTAGTAAGTATGGTGTAGATCTGCAAATGTAAGAGATGTGTGACATGTTGACTCCATAATGAGATCCATTCCATAGGCCACAGAGGAAAATAAGCCCTATAATATTTTAGTCAGGCCTAATAGGTAATCTACTTCCTTTTCATTTTTAAATCAAACATGATTCCCTTTGTCCTCATGCTTTTGTTGTTCTTCATTAGCTGCCTCTTTTTTTAAAAATTCTCACCTGAGGATATGTTTATTGATTTTAGAGAGAAAAGAAGGGAGAGAGAGACAGAGAGAGAGAGAGGGAAGGAAGGAAACATTGATGTGAGAGAGAAACACCCTGACCAGGAATCAAACCTGCAACCTTTTTGGTGTATTGGCCAACGCTCCAACCAACGAGCCACCCGGCCGGGGTTCAGTTGCCTCTTTTGTTAGCCATTGGTGCTACTTTTTATTTCTCTTATCCCATTTAATATAATATAGGCTATATTAATATAGACTATTTCTCCTTGGAGTTTTAGTGCAACCCCAACCCCTAAAACCATCTTTTGCTATTCCTTAATTAAAAGGAGTGCTCTCTAACCAAGATTTTAAATTTTCATTCTCTTTTTGTGGGGGACAGCCAATAATATAAGCACCTACTACTATTATTACTCCACATTTAATGAAGTCTAATTCTCTACTTCAAGAACTTCAGCTTGAAGTTGTTTTTTTTAATTTTTTTTTAAAAAGATCACGTGATGAGGTATTTTAAAAAAAGTATTATATAAATTGTCTTTACCTACAATATACAGGTTTCTACTTGTATTTATTCAGTAGTTTTTAACTTTAACAATAGGAGTAAATTAGGCTTTTTATTTGCTCATTCTGTTTGCCCCCCACCTTTAAAAGATTTCATTAATTATATTATTATAGATTATAGAAGGGGACATTTTGGAATGTCTTTTCCCTCTTCATTCCTGTCCCACTCTGTCAGTTAGATATGCTGGGTCTGAGCCACCATCACCTTTGTTACATCCCCCCTTAGTCTGTATTCCCTATACACTCTCATCCATCTGTGTATATATTATTTTGACTTTAAAATGGGAGTTTCTAAGAGCAGAATACTTAGTGTCTAAATATAGTCATCTGGTTAAAAACCTACCCAGCCCATCCATAGTTTCACAACCCTAATGAGCCAATTCCTAATTTTTCCACCTGTTGTCAACCTCTGGGCATAGTTTACATTTCCTGTAAAAATAGTCAAGGTACAATTTTATCTTCCACTTTTCTCATTTAACATTGTTATATTTTTCTGTTTTGCTCTATTTTTATGTATTTTTTATTCCTTTTAAAATTATGCATGCTTGTTTTTCTAAAATCAACTTGGATTATTAATTATTATAAATCATATTAGGAAACTGTCCAAAATTAAGGTCATCAGCAGAACAAGAATTACTATTACTAAATTTTAGTTATTTCCCCAAAAGTTTGGTTAAATACGTGTTTAATTAATACACCGTTTTTCTAAAAGGACTAATGAAATAATGCCATATTAAGTGTTTTATGCAGTGTCTGCTTTTACTGGTTAGAACATTTTTTTTCCCCAATCCTCACCGAAGAACGCTGCGGGTGGCAACTCATGTATGTGCCCTGACTGGGAATCAAACTGACAACCTTTCAGTGCACTCAACCAACGTAGCCACTTGGGCCAAGCTGGTTAGCACATTTAGAGGTTCTGAGTACATAGAATATTCTAAGTTGCCTGCTACTACTCATTAAGTAACTTAGCCCCGTGTTTTTTGTTCTCAATAGTATCTTGAATGACCATGAAACTTTGTTTCTACATTTACTGAGTGCCTCTGATGTACATCACTTTCCAAGAGGAGTGTGTAATGATAGGACCTTTTCCTTTTGCTTGCAAGGCCAGAAGTCTCGCCGAGAAAATAGTCATGGATGTACTTGTAACTATAATGACATGACAATGTTATAAAAGAGGTGTGAATAGAAAGTTATAGGATCATTACGGAAAAGGTGGACATATAACAGATTTTATTTATTTTCATTAAATTCTATAAGAATTTTATAAGGTAGAGGTCATCAGTTTTTTTAATGGACAGTGATATTAGTACATACTGGTTAGCTTCTCTCCTTCCTCTCTCCCTGCCTCTCTTTCCTTCCCTTCCTCTGCACTCCTTTCTCTTCTCTTCCCCTCTCCTTGCCTTCACAAACCTTTATTGACTAGATACTACTTGCCTGAGACAATCATGAAAATAGGCTACACAGGCAAAATAAAATTCCCATCTCTAAAATGATTAGCTCATTCCTTAGAAGCATAAATTTTGTGCCATTAATTTATGAATTACTGAACATTTTGTGATGTAATTGATCCTCAAATTATCAGTTCCTTAGATGTAATTTATAACATTAAATATAGATTTGTTTTGATGATTCTTAAAAGTTTATTTGTTTGTTATTAGGTACACACTGCCTGCAAAGACTTATACCATCCTGTATGTCCACTTGGCCAATGTAAAGTGTCTATCATACCTCCAATTGCACTAAACAGCACTGATTCTGATGGTATGTAGCAGTAGTGTAAAAACGTATATTCCTGGTATATTGAAAGTTGATATGTACATTTATTTTCCTAGAATAAATAGAATTATAACGGGTTACTGTCAGTTTTCATATACTAATTCTATTTAAATTGTTGAACAGTACATTTAATTTTTGAAAGAACATTTTAAAATTAAAGTTTAACATAGCTATTAACACATTGGTGAAATTTCTGTGTATAAGACTCTTAGATTTTACATTTCAGCAAATAAAATGCAATCACATTCTGTACTGAAATGTAATCTGAAAATGTTAATTTTTTATAAGTGTTTTTTCCTCCATATAGAAACTGCCCATTAGCATATCTCCTTTAGAAATCTTTTTTCTTATTTCACTGCAGGAACTTATTACTATAAGTTTATTCACTTCTTCCAGAATCTTACAACTTAGCTGTAAGTGCTAGGGAACCTGTTTACAACACTAGTTTTGAACTAGCATATTAATAACTTCCTTCTAAGAAAACCATATTATGAAAGACTTTTTACCATATGCTATTAATGTTTTGCATTGATAAAGTGCATTTTGATTTTCAAACTTTTTATATAAATTATGCCAGTTGATCTTGTAGATATGAGGTTATAAGTCTCAAAATATGTGATTTAAAAAAAAATACCTGTGCTATTAAAGCCCCCCCTCCACAAGCCCTGATATATCAAGGTTCTGTTGTGTATTGTAAATTTTAAAGTATTTGCTCAGGTCTCATCAAGGAGCAGTTAAAGTATTTTATAGTACTAAATACAAAAATATAGACTGTGATTGGGTTTTCTTATAATTGTTAAGTCAGGTCATATATCTCAAATTACCTCTGATTAATACTTTTGCCATCTTTGTTATGATTTTTCATTTTAGAGCATATTTTAAAACATAACTTCTGTAGTCTTAGTATGTAAATAATAAACCTATCTCCATTTGGGGGGCTAATTTGTAACATTGTTAAAGTAATGAACCTGGTTCTTTATTTTTATGAATTTCTCTTTTTCTGAATTTTTGTTAACACTTTAAAAGAGGAAGCTGCACATACTGATCTTGTCCTATGTTTTTTACAGGTTTCTGTAGAGCAACATTTTCATTCTGTGTTAGCCCTCTACTGGTTTTTGTCAACTCAAAGAGTGGAGATAATCAGGGAGTAAAGTTCCTTCGACGGTTTAAGCAGATACTAAATCCGGCTCAGGTGTTTGATTTGATGAATGGAGGTCCTTATTTAGGGTAATTGATTATTGATAAGTCCCTTTTAAATGAAATGTAACACTGAGTATTAAATATGCCTGGCTTTTCAGTTCATGAAAATTGGAGATTCATCTAGACATCTCTGTGTTGATCTTCCCACTCCTCCTTTTTTAAAAGTTCTAATTATATCCTGGCCAGGGTGGCTCAGTGGCTGAGCGTTGACCCAGGAACGGGAAGATCATGGTTGGATTCCGGGTCAGGGCACATGCCCAGGTTGCAGGCTCCATCCCCAGGAGAGGGCCTGCAAGAGGCAGCTGATCAATGACTCTCTTACTTCATAGATGTTTCTGTCTCTCTCCCTTCCTCTCTCTAAAATCAACAAAAAACATATTAAAAGTTTTAATTATAAAGTTAGCACAACCTTTTTGATATTTATATCACTTCCTTATGTGCTAAAAATTCCAAAATTTGTTTAGAAAGTGTTTTAGACTATTACCTTACACCAAACAAGCAGTCACAGTGTGCTGAGTTCTAAGAAAGATAAACGTGTAAATATAGAAATACAAATAACTTTAGAAAATAATTTGCATGGAAGGCTAGTATTGATTTATGTGTATTAATACAATCAATTATTTAACTAAAGCACAGATACTATCATGGGTCTCTAGGTCAGTTCCTCAATGATTTGACTCACTTCCTACAAATGGCAAAGAATGACTTTTCTTGATTGTTTTAGCTTTCTGGAATGTCATTTAACATAAAATTTGAGAAGAATTTAATAATATTTTCAGTGAGGGAAAATACACCTTGAGGCACTTTCAGTTCATTTTTAGTGTATGTATATGATTTTTGTTGAAGAGCTGATACGGTGTCATTTGAACCAGAGCCCAGCAATTTCTCTCTATATGACTTACTTATGCCAGCTCAGGCTTTCTCTAGGGTTCCACCATCACCTTAACACATGAACATAAAAGTAAAAATGGGGATTTATTTTTATTTTTTAAATTTTCAATCTTCACTGTTTGTCAGAGAGAGTGGAAGGGGGAGAGAGAGAGACAGAGAAAGAGAGAAACATCAATATTGGTTGCCTCCCGCACATACCCTGACTGGGGCCAGGGACTGAGCCTGTAACCGAGGTACCTGCCTTTGGAGGGAATTGAACCCAGGACCCTTCAGTCCAGAGGCTGATACTCTAACCACTGAGCCAAACCAGCTAGGGAAAAATGGGTATTTTTAGACTTTCTTGTCTCCTGTATTTCTCTCCTCAGTCTCTTTTTGTGCCCCTTTTCACTTTTGTCCCTTCAGAGTCTTCCTTCTTATTTCCATTGTCTTTTTCTTGCTAAGTTCAGGCCCTTCTGGTCATGGGGTGTTGACCATTTTTGTGTGTACCCAACTCCTTATCTACTTGGACATCCTTCCCTTCCCTTTGTTTGGGTCCTGGGATTTCCTCATCTGGCCTCTCTTCTCACCTTTGTCTCTTCCATTGCTAGTTAGCTTTGTCTCCTCCTTTCTAGTACATTTGTTTTATAATCCTTGATAGTTCCAATATCTTATATCGTTGACATTCATTTTTCCCACCCAAGGAACTCCATTTGTTAAACTTCTTGAGATTGTCTATAACATACTTTTTAGATTTCCCACAATACATGAGGGTATACAAAGGTACATTCAGAAGGTGGGACATGTCAGAAGTTGAGAGGAAGAAAGATAGAAGTAAAAAGATTGACCTGAGACTAGGAGAAGAGAACAATCCAACAGGGAGTGCAAAAAATGACACATTGACAAGGTTTGGGGATCTCTTTACGAACCACCTCAAGTACCACTCAACAGCAACAGTGCCCCAGATTCCCCACCCCTGGTTTGTAATCTGCTATGCTTAAGGAAATAACACAGCTTTATAATGGAAAGAGAAAAATCACTACTTTCCCCATCATATATCACCTCTTATTCTCTTTGCTGGGCTATGTTTCTTTTTTTTGTTTTCTCATTTCTTTCTTCCCTTTCCTTCTAATTTTACCTTCATTTCTACTTATAATCCCCTTTGATCTTTATGATTAAGAGGTTTTCTTGAGTTAAAATTGTACTTAAATTAACTTTATAGTATAATTAATATATAAGTTCTTATATTTAACCTGAACATGAATACCAATAAATGCAGAATAACAAAGAATTAGAGAAAGCGAATTTTATTTATATTAAGCAAAACACTTTTTACTTTCAGTTTAAGGTTATTCCAGAAGTTCGACAATTTCCGGATTCTTGTTTGTGGAGGAGATGGAAGTGTAGGTTGGGTTTTGTCAGAAATCGATAAGCTCAACTTGAATAAACAGGCAAGTACTAATTCTTTTCATTGTTAACTAAAATGAATGTATACTCACTGGCTAACCAGAGAACTGTATACCTGTATTAGCCCCTGTTTCTCAGCTTGTCTGAGGTCTCCCTGTTGTGCTCTCTTCTAGTGTCAACTGGGAGTGTTACCTTTGGGTACTGGAAATGACCTTGCCCGGGTTCTTGGCTGGGGAGGTTCATACGATGATGACACTCAACTTCCCCAGATACTAGAGAAGCTGGAACGAGCCAGTACCAAAATGTTGGACAGGTAAAAGTGAATTCTCTTCTAAACATAGTTTGAAAATGACATACAGAAATCATTTTTTGACAAGTTAAATTTTACTGACTGAAAGCCCCTTGACTGCAGAGACTTCCTGGTCTTGTCCACTCTCTCACCCCTGAGGTATAGAACAGAGCCCAGTCAGTCACTCAAGAAATATATTTTTTGAGTGAGTGAATTATAGCAAAAACAGAAAACTAGTCTAATGAATATGCTATTTTAAAGATAGAAGGCTGTGTTGATACTAATGACTTTAAGTTGCTGTTCAGGTCAGAAGAAAGCTTTAAATAGTTAATTTGGGGAGAGAGGCTTTTGATGAGTATCATCTTGTGGTTTCATTAAAGCTCAAAAAGACCTATAAACTTTAGATTTGTTAGAATATCTCTTCTTAATTATACCTATAAGAATGAATTAAACCAACAAAGAACTAAATAATAAAAAAGAATCCTTTCCCAGAGACAGGGAAGTGTTAGGAAGACAACTGCATCTGAAGGAGCTGCCACTGTTTATAGTCCCCTTGATCGCATCTCTTCACTGCTTTCTCTCTAAATGCTCCACATATGAAAAAGAAATCACAGCGTGTGTACCCTGAGCATTATGAAGGAGGTGTTTAGAATTTGGACATAGGGAACAATATGACACAATGAGCAGTAAACTCCCCACCCCCATAAGAAGACAAATGTCAAAATATCCTTATAAACTTGAGTTAGCATGAATCAAAACAACTTTGATAGGATTAGCCATCTGAGGAACTCTTCCCGAAAATTTGTTAAATCTCATCAGGGAGCCGCCAATCTGAAATGTAATTACTCTCAAATGAGCTATAACCTAATTAATTGTAACCTTGCCTGTCATAAGGTAATGTTGAGGTGGTTGATTCTTTTGCTGAAAGAACATTTAAAAGAGCTGGACTGTAGAGTGTTTTTCTGTTTATCCGAAACATTCTTTAAAAAATTTTTTTCCATTAAATTTGCAGTTGACACTCAATATTATATTAGTTTCAAGAGTACAACATAGTGGTTAGACATTTATATAATTTACAAGGTCAGAGGTATACCCCAGTAGTTTGGGTGCATAAAGTGGATTCAACCTCCAGTCTTTAAAGGAGCCCAGAGGTGATTTCTCAGACAACTGCCCAATTCTATGCTCACCAAACTACACGGTATTTTAAAGGGCTTATTGTTGCAAATTTAAAACCACATTCTCATATCATCGTAGGTAATGCTGCTAGGGGTTTCCTCTACCCTGTGTATGCTTTTCCCTCGTTGTTATAAAAATTAACTTCTCCAGGTGGTCAGCAGAGAAATAGTTCCCTCATGGTGAAATTCCTTGATACAGACCTACAAAAACATAAGAAATTTGGGTGAATTTCTTTCCAGAGTCTTTAACTGTCCTTTGACCAGAGAAGTATTTCCAGCTATAAGGAGCTTGACTTTCTTGTTTCCAATTGTGGTTCTGCCTATTTGGATATTTACAGGGTTTACTTATTTTATGTGTTTCTTGTGTTATATCTGTTTCCTGTATTAGAATATAAGCTTCATTAAGGAAGTCTTACTCACAATTGTATTTCCAGACCCTGGAATACTGTTTTTCACTTTGAGATGTTGAGTGTCTCTTGCATGCATAGATGGATGGATGGATGGATGGATGGATGGATGGATGGATGGATGGATGGATGGATGGATGGATGGCTTTTTGTGCTCAAATATATATTTCTTTATAGTATATTCATATCAAGAATTGAATAGTACCTATAAGTAACTATTCAGTTTATACATCTTAACATATAATAAATGTCTTTTAGGGGATTTTCTGGGAATTTGGATTTTTATGCAAAGACTTATTAGTCTGAATGATGCACTAGGCTCTCTTTTAATACTGATACCAATCTTGGAATTTTCTTGTAGGTTCTGTCATTGGTTTGTCACTGGTTTCAGCTGTGAAATGCTTTTCTTAAAATTTGTGTCACGGCACTGCTTTTATTATGCTTTGTGTCTTTGTAAAATCTTTATTTCTCATCCTGTTATTGACATCATACACAGTCTTCTCAAATTTTGAAATAAATTCTGAAATTATTATTTTAGATACATGTCTGGAGTTGATTTCTTTTCTTTAACACCAAATGATTCAATGTTTGGTTTGAAATTAATATTTACAGCTAATTGAAATAAATTTGCTTCAGTTATTTCTGTTAATATTTTTAAGGGGTAATTAGCTGATTTTCAATTCATGCACATATAAGGTGACTTGGCATGACTGTGACATGATAAATGATTTATTTTTATAGGTAGCGTGCATTTATTTAATCTAAGGCATTGTTTTAGAACTTTGGGTTGTGATCCATTAGTAGTTTATATAACCTAGTTAGTAAATTACAGTGAGCATTATTTTACAGGTGAAACACGAGAACAGAATGCACTGCATCTGGTGAAAGAGGGAAGTGTTAGACATGCGCACTTCTTACTTTGAGTCATGGCATTAAAATATTTGGAAGTCACAAAGACACAGAGAATTGATAAGATATGAAAATCTTGACTTATGAATGCAGCATTTTATGAAATTACTCAAATTTCATCTCTTTTCCCATATTTGGTTGTTTTATTTTTTTAATTTTTCAAGTACAATTTACAGTCAATCATATTTGGTTGTTTTAGAATACACTAAACCGTAGTTCATAAATATATGTGCATATTTTTGTATATGAAGTGAGAACAAAGCCAGTTTATTAAACTTTAAAGGAATTTTAGACCAAAGATTTTTTCTTTTTTCAGGTGGAGTATAATGACCTATGAACTCAAATTGCCACCAAAGGCTTCTCTACTTCCAGAACCTCCAGGAGCACCGGAAGAACTTTATGTAAGACTTTAATAACCCTTTACCTATTTATCATTTGAAAATGCGGGTGAATATCTTGAACAAATAAGAAAGTTTACAAGATAGGGTAGCATGTTTACTTAATTGTATGTTTTATTGTTTTGGGTATGGTCTCATTGACTTCTTATAGTTCTCTCTCCAGTGGAAGGAATCCTTAGATCTAGGTTAGAGTCCTTCCATGAACTCCCACACTGGGCATGCGAATTTAGCCACATCACTCACTGTCATGGCCTAGGAGACTCACTCACTCTGTAAAGTGAGACTACCATGTTATGAGGGTTAAATGACGTGACAAGTGTGTGTAAAACATCAGATAGGCAAATTTCCCTTCAATCACCCCAATATTTCTCCCCGGCATTCCACCTGCCTTCTTCCTCTGACCAGCAGGGTTCCAGGGAAGGCCCCTGATGATTCCTGTTAGTTTTTACTCACTGTCTGCTTCAGCATGAGCACCTGTGTGATCAGTAGGGGTTAGCCCAGCTCCCTTAAACAATCTCCAAACACACCAGTACTTGTGGCTAGAATACTATACAATTTCTCTCTTCCTGCTCTGCCTGCCCTGTTGAGAGTGCACCAGAACCGCTCTACAGGTTAAGCCTGTTGATCAAGATAAAACAAAGCAAGGAAAACAGTGCACTTTATTCCATCCTTGCTATAGACCATTAATAACTACAGTTTTAAGACATTCTTAAATATTCAGCATTCTGATTAAACCTCAAAGCCCTGGAGATTTATAACAGAACCAAATTTTCAAAGGATTATTCTCTGACTCACTAAGACCATTTGATCTATGATACCTTATTTTTCCCTCAAGGAAATTTCATCTGTTTATTTTACAGTTAAAATCTTTCTTTTGTCATTAAGAAAATTATGACCTTATAAAAACAAAGGAAAGGAATGGTAACTAGAAACATGGGCTCTCCCTTAGAGAAGCTAATTGAATTTTGAAAACCTTTTTCTGATATAAAGGTAGCAAAAACTCCTTCTAAAAATTTTGAAAATATAAAAATATATGAAAACAAAAATCTTATAGTCCCACCACCCAGAGACAATTACTCTTAAAGATTAATATATTTCCTATTTTATTTCCAGCAGCATTTTTATTTATATTATTTTTTTACCCAACTATAAACAAAATACATGTTTTATAGGAATCCATCTTTTTTCTTAATAGTATTTTTGTAAATGTTACTTTCTCTCCAAAAAGGCAAAAGGGGAATTTTTTGCTGTACTTACTTCAGAGATGTCTATTTCCTAGTACTAAAAAATGATAGTTTACTTTTATCACATATATAGTCACTAAATATGAGGTACAATTGTAGCTACATGGAAGAAATCTCTTGTTTAATATAAAAATATTTTGAATGGACCTTCATTTGTTTTGGTTTCTTATTAAAATATTTCACAACAAAGGGATAGAATGCCTTCAGATTGCAGGTTAAATCCATCTTCTGCAACACTGTCCATTCAGCACCACGTGACTTTTTTGCTTTGAAAACTGCAATAAAAAGTAAGCTGAACCTCCTTTGTGGGTTCAACCTAGTTTTTCAGCGTATATATATTTTCTTTTTCTTTTTTGTTAATCCTCACCTGAGGATATTTTTCCATTGATTTTTAGAGAGAGTGGAAGGGGGGGCGGAGAGAAACATCAATGTGAGAGAGACTCATCAATTGGCTGCCTCCCGAATGTGCCCCAATCTGGGCCAGGGATTGAACCTGCAACCGAGGTACGTGCCCTTGATCAGGAATCGAACCCGAGATCCTTGGGTACGGGGGCTGACGCTCTAACCACTTAGGCATACTGGCCAGGGCCAGCTTATATATATTTTTAAATAGAAATTTCATATTGGATTTCTTTATGCATGATTGTGAAATTACTATTTTTAAATTTTCCTTAAAAGGACAGAAAAGGTAGTTGACCTTCCTAATTATCTTACTGACAGCACTCTGCTGGCATCATAGAATCACAGAACTTAAGGAATTGTGACAGTTTCATTGATTCCTTTCGGCCATAATTAAGTAATTCTATGTGTTGTACTTTTTAAACATTGTGAAAATAGTGGTTTCATGATTTCCTTCAGTAACAGGGATTCTATTATTTAATACTCAATATTAGAAAATTTATTGTTTATGTTTTAGCATACAATCCACATACCCATCATGTTATTTCCTCTAACCCTTTGTGAATAAATTTGTATCCTTCCATTAGCATCAGCTTATTAGTTCACCTCTGTTCCTACCTTGGGTGTCAGCTTAGATATCACTTGCTCCAAGCAGCCATCCCTCTCTCCCAAGTCCTAGTACTGTGTTATTCCTCAGGAGTCCCATGGTCCCTTCACCGTCCATCATCGTGGTACTATTGTGTTGTAAAGTTCAGGCAGTGTGTATTATTGTACACACTCACCATTATACTGTCGTCTGGCACTGTGAAAGGCAGAATAACAAAATTATTCTTGTTAAATTTTGATCTAAAGATCAAACCTGTTCGGAGCGATGAGCATCTTGGCATCAAAGCCCTCTGGCCTTGCCTATTTCTTAGAAGCCAGATCTTCCCTCTGCTTTCCAATTGGATTAAAAGCTTATTGATGCAGGAGACCTATTTTTGGTCTCTTCTGTATCGTATCCCAATCCTACAAGTCCAGTAAGTCAACAGATGCCTGTGTATTAATGCCAAGGTGATCAAGGAGAAAATGAGAACTGTGCCTCAGTCGTCTCCCTGAAAACAGGGAAGAATGGCCTTAAATGTCAAAACAAAATTCTTCCTAGTCGTTTATTTGTTTGTTTTTTTAAATATATCTTTATTGGTTTCAGAGAGAGGAAGGTAGAGGAAGAGAGATATAGAAACATCAGTGATGAGAGAGTCATTGATCAGCTGCCTCCCACAGGGATCGAGCCTGCATCCTGGGCATGTGCCCTGACCGGGACTTGAATGGAGATCACCTGGATCCAACGTCGATGCTCAACCTCTGAGCCACGCTGGCTCGACCAAGTAGTTTATTTTTAAATTTACTCTGATAGAATAATGAAAGTTCTTTCCTCTCAATTCTGTCAGTTTTCTAGATGCTTAGTAATAGCATGCTAAGAAATCGTAACTTTAAAGCCTGGCCGGGCGTGGCTTAGCAGTTGAGCATCGACCTAGGATCCTAGGCGATCAGGGTTTGATTCCCGGTCAGCGCACATGCCCGGGTTGCGGGCTAGGCAGCCGATCAATGACTCTCTCATCGTTGATGTTTCTATCTCTCTCTCTCCCCCTCCTTTCCGCTCTCTGAAATCAATAAAGATATATTTTTTTAAAAAAAGAAATCGTAACTTTATTCTTTTTCATTCATTTAACAAGATGAAGTGCCTGTCTGTATCCAGGACTGGAAATAAAACACTTACCCTCTAGTTTCAGTCAGCTTAGGGCAGTGGTTCCCAAGCTGTGTGCCAGCCTCAGGGCACTGCAGTGAGCTCTGAGGGCTACCATAAGATATTTTTAAGTTGAAAGAAAACTCAACATCTGTTGGGTGCTTTGCAAACTACTAGCTGGAGATAGGACACAGTTTAAACATTAGGCTTCACTACATATTTCAATGGCATATTTGTGAAGCTGGGTTTTCAGGAGTTGCTGAGCTAAAAAAAAGTAAATACCACACTGAACTTGGTGTGGAGTAGGAAATGAAACTATCACTGTGCAACCTGATTCCAGGGTTTCACATGTATACAATGCTGAGAGGCTTAAAACTAGTTGTTTAAGAATGAAATAAGATGTTTTTCTTTTAATATGCGTGTGTGTGTATAATTTTTTCAAATGGTTATTAAGTTGTTAGGATATAAGTATTAAGTTGTTTAGAGTTAACTACTGTTAGGTATTTCTTTTGGCTTAAGGGCACTATGACAAAATTATTAAGACATTAAAAATGCCTTGAACTCAGCAAGTTTAGGAATCTCTGGTCTAGAAAAGGAAGTTATCAGTTAATGTTTAGGTTATTTTCAGGGTATAATGGTTGCACAGTAGGGAGGGTCCTTTGACTGGCAAGTTCAGTGAAGTCTTTACAGAGGGAGTTGTGCCTAAACTCAGTTTTCAGCACAAAAGAAAAGTAGGGATAAGCCAGTTGAAAAAGAGCATTACATAGAGCATGAGAATTAGTACCTTAGTAAATTTGGGGCACTGCATGTAATTCTGTAGTGTTAGAACATGTGGTGCAAAGAAAAGGCATCAAAAGACAGGACAGAAGAGGAAAGGAGGGTCAGATGGGTTGTGCAGGGTCTTGGGAATTATAGAGGTCTTCCTTGTTAGCTGAAGGGTTTTGACTATCTGGGAAGTAGGAGGGATCCACTCAGACATTGTAAAGCAGGAATGAGGTATGATCGGATTTGTGGTTTCTGGTGTTTTTTTTTTAAATACTCATCCGAGGCCATGCTTCTATTGATTTTTAGAGAGAGAGGAAGGGCGAGGGAGAGGGAGAGAAACATTTATTCAAGAGTGAAACATCGATCAGTTGCCTCCTGTGCACGCCCCATCTGGGGACCACTTGGGTATGTGTCCTGACTAGGAATCAAGCCCCAGACCTTTCAGTGAATGGGACAGTGCTCCAACCAACTGAGCCACACCGGCCAGGGCTACATTTGTGTTTTTGTTGTTGTTTTTTAAACAGTGTTGTAAAGTAGAGAATGGTTTGAAAAGGAGCAGGAGAGATATTGGAAGCCCAACAAGGAGGCTATAATGATACACGTGAGAAATGATAAAATTGGTATTTAACAAATACAGTGAAGCAAAGACCAGGACTTGCTTGGGGGGGGGCAGTGTGGTGGGAAAAGCCCCAGTGTCCTCAGACCTGCCCCCTAGCTTTATCCCCTCTTCATTAGCTGCGGATCTTGGGCAAGCCACTCAGTTCACCTGAGCCTCACACTCCTTGGCTTGAAACAGGACACCTCATGGGATAAATATATACAAAACAATCACAGTGCCTGGTACACAATAAAAATGTTAACTATTATTATTACCTTATCTTTATGACTCTGCTAAATAACTGCATGATAGGTTAGTAAGTGATATCAATAATTTTATCCTCAGACATAGTTTTATTTCAGTTTTCTCTGGAAGAGATTGTATTCTTTGCTTTTGTTTATATATAATGGACAAAAACTTGGATTTTTTAAATGTAAATTCAAATGGAATTAACAATAGTTTTTAGTACTTTTTTCTACCTTCTTAGGCTTTCTGGCAATCTACCCTGTAGGGAAAAGAAATAAAACTAATCTTTTTAAAAATATTTTTTCTTTTTTTGCCTTTTAATAGATGTATTTTGATTTTTCTGATCTTAACTGTAAAGATGCAGTTTTTAATGTTTAGACCAGGAAATCCATAAAGTGGATTTGTGAATCAATACAATATTGTGTGAAACCTTTCCCCAACTTTCTTTCATGTAAATTTTTTTTTTTCCCATGTAGTCTGCCTTTGAGAAAAGTAAGATAGAAATTTAAAAGAGTAACAACATTACTGATTAGCCACTGGTGGAGCTGGATGTTAATCGTGAATGAGGTGCCTTTGGAAAGAGGCTAGTCAGGAAGGCTTTATGGGCGAGTGGGTAGCTGAATCTTCACTTAAGCCTGACTAAACTGATGCTGATTGGTAAAAAGCAGTGAAAGGCTGAGTCAGGCAGGAGAGCAGTGGGTGCTGGCCTGAATAGAACAGATGGGTGATCATGGAAATTTTTGAGCCATGAGACATAGAATATATTTGAGGCAAAAATTTGATGAAAGGCTTTTAATACGAAACTGTAAATATTGTGCACATTTTCATATATTAGGAAGATGTGTTCTTTCAACAGAATATTGAAGTTTGAGTCAAATAGAAAAGGGGACATAGGACTCCTTTGGCATTTGATTATTTGAGAGAAATGTTTATTTACATGCTTGTATGACAGTGCATTCAGCATTTTAAAAAAACTTTATTGAGTTATACATTCAAAAAAGTGCACATATCATAAATGTTCACCTTGATAAGTTTCCACAAACCAAAGGCGCCCATGTCATCAGCACCCAGAGCACAAGGCAGCATTAACAGCACCGCGTGAGGCCCTCTCGTGCCCTCTTTTATTCACCACCCCCATCTCCTAGCCCAGTAACCAATATCCTGACTTCTAACAGCATAGATTCATTGTCTGTTTTTGTACTTTATAAAATAGAATCGTTTTGTATATACTCCTTTGTTTCTGAATTCTTCCACTTAACACTTTGTCTTTGAGATTCACCTGTATTGTGGCTTAGTTGTAAATCACGCATTCTCGTTGCCCTGTAGTTTCCCGCTGCACAAATACACTACAGTTTGTCACCCGTTCTGCCATTGAGTGAACGCTGCTGTGAACATTCTGGTACATGTCTTCTGCCGAACACACATCTGCATTTCTTTTGGGCATATATGTGGAAGTTGAGTTGCTGGGTCCTGCGATATTATGCGTATGTTCAGCTTTGGTAGTTACTACCCAACAGTTTTGTAGAGTGTGTGTATCAGTTTGCTCTCCACTAGCAGGGTCTGAGTTCTACTGCTCTTGCGAGTGCTTGACATTTTCTGGTTGTTATTTTCATTTTAGCTATTCTGACAGATACATAGTGGCGTCACAGTGTGGCTTTACTGTACATTTTCCTGATGGCTGTTTATGGGCCATTTGGAGATCTTCCTCTTAAAACTACTAGCCTTTGGCCCATGCTTATTAGATTGTCTGGTATTTTTGTACTCAATTATGCAAACATCTTTATGTTTTCAGACTTTGGACATTTAAAAAATGTTTAAAGGGCTTTTACGGATTTTTCCAAGAGTATAAGTTAAAGAATTCCAGAAACTAAAAGCCTTTCACAGAAAGGAAATATTTATTTTGTAGAATGACTGTATTACATATTCATTTTAGCCATTGCCCTGTGTCACATGTGTCACGAATGGTCCCGTTTTTGAAGCAATAATAGCAGAGTTGTATAATTGCCAGTAACAATAACACAATGTAGTTTTTTCTATTTTTTTCAGATGACAATTTATGAAGACTCGGTTGCAGATCATCTTACAAAAATCCTTAATTCTGATGAACATGCAGTGGTCCTGTCATCTGCCAAGTGAGTTACAGAGTGAAAATGAAAGGAAAGCTGGTTCTTATCATTGATGTTATTTTTCTGTGACTTGTTTTCCAAAACATATATTTGTAGTAGCTTATAGAATTAGATAAGCTAAATTTCCATTTTAAAAATATCACTTGAACATCTTATTTACAGTGGAGAATATTTAGAGGGTATTTTTTAATGCTTAATTCGAAAGACTTTTTGTCAAAAAGGTACAATAAGTGTTCAAAGTTTAATTACACTAAGTTCCTATTTAAAGAAGTATAGCTCGGCCAGGCGTGGCTCAGTGGTTGAGCATCAACCTAGGATCCAAGCGATCGGGGTTCTATTCCCGGTCAGGGCACATGCCCGGGTTGTGGGCTCGATCCCCAGTAGGGGGTGTGCAGGAGGCAGCCGATCAATGCCTCTCTCATCATTGATGTTTCTATCTCTCTCTCTCCCTCTCCTTTTCTCTCTCTGAAATCAATAAAGATATATTTTTTTAAAGTATTTATGATTAGTATAATATAGAAAACACATTTCATTATAATTATTGTTTCCTTAATCACTACTATTTAAGAACTGCCTATATTGGGAACAGGAAAACAGTGAGGAGATTTTTTTCAAATGACTTGTCTTAAACTTAATACCTGTGAAGTATAACATTTTTAGCAGAGAGAATTTTTTTCAAATGAAAATTTATGCAGAATCCCAATATTAAAAAAATTAAAATTCTATTTTGTTGGCTTTAATAAATTGGATAAGATTATAACTTATTAGTAATTTATGAGAGAAATTAAGCAATATGGTTATAGATGACAGTTAAGATTTTATATTTAATGCAATTTCAAGTCATTTCTGTATTTTGTTTAGATATAAAGAAATTACCTTCAATTAAGTAAAAATAGAAGATGCTTTAGTCCAGTATTTGCACGAAACTAGTGAATTCTGAAGTAAAAGTTAACATACTTGTATCTAATATCTCTAATGGTTATTCCAGCATTAAAAATTAAATTCTTTATTTCCAAATAAGTTTAAATGAAGCATTTGTAGAATCTTTGAAATATTTTTGCAAAACAGCCTGGAAACCACTGGTGTAGGTCACAGTGTTGCGCTAAGTACTGGAGGAGTCAATCTGAGGTCCTAGTTGAGACTCAGCCATTTGCTGGCTTTGTGACCTATGTCTGCTTATCAGGTTCAGGAATGGAAAGAATGCCTGTCCTTCCTCCCTCATGGAACTGTTAGGAGAACTAAGTTGAGTAATAAAGTAAACAGATTTTATAAACTAGAGTGCTGTGTTAAATCATTAAATCATCACCTCATGTTTCCCCCAATTACATTGAGAATTTTTTTTTACCTTGACCTGGCTCTCTGTCTAGGATGCGCGCTCAGCATTAGCTTTGGATTTCTCCCTGCCGAGCTCATTTGCCTTTAAGCAGATTCTGTTCCAACCCTGGCCCCCTCTTGCTAGGCTTGCCTGGCTGTCCTGTCTTTACAACCCCAGATTAAAATTTTAAAGAGATTCAAGATGGAAAAGAGAGGACAACATGCAATAACACTGTACCCATAATACGGTATATTTTTAACTTAATTTTTGTTATGGACATTTTCAAACATACATAAAAGTAGAAAGACTGGTGTGATGATTTCACACTGTACTTGTTACTCTGCGTCAGTATTTATCAATGTTTTGTCATATACCCCCCGCTTTCTTTTTCTTTTTTTGTTAATCCTCACTCGAGGATATTTTTTGCATTGATTTTTAGAGAGAGTGGAAGAGTGGGAGGGAGAGGAAGAGAGACAGAGAGCGAGAGAGGGGGAGAGAAACATGGGTGTGAGAGAGACACATTGATTGGTCGCCTCCCACACACTCTGGACCCGGGGCCAGGGATAGAACCTGCAAACCAGGTACGTGCCCTTGACCGGAATCAAACCCAAGACCCTTTGGTGTGCAGCCAATGCTCTAATCACTGAGCAACACCACCCATGGCCCCATTTTTTTTTGCCACAGTGTCTCTAAGAAAAATCCCAGAAATTATTTTATTCCACTTACAGTATATATACCTAATAATCTTTAAAAAAAATAGTTCTGTATTACTCAGTCCATTTCCCACAGTTATCTCAAAGGGTTTTGTTTTTGTTTTTGTTTTTATTTTGAAACATTGGGTTTGTTCAAATCAAAATCTAAGCACGGTTCACGTATTGTCTTTAGGTGATATGTCTCTTTAAGACTTGTAAAATCTGTAACAGTTTCCCACTGCTTTGAAGAAGTTTTTGCTATTAAAGCATGACATATATGTAGTGAAGTGCCCAAATCATAAGGCTACAGCTTAGTGATTAGAAAAATTAATACAGGCACATATTCACATCCTTGAAACCACCACCAATACAGAACTCCTTTATTTTGCTATTGCCATTTGAATGATACAATAGTAAGGCAGACTGTTCTAATGCTCTTAAAACATATTTATTTCATGACATAGTGATTCCCAGTGGCCTAAGCTGTTTTTAACTATTTTTAAAATGTTGAAAATGCTAATGGGAAAGCTACATTCCATTAGCATAGATAATAAGTAGAATAACTAATATAGTTAATATTGGTTAACCAACATAATGTCCACATTTCTTTGACGGGAACTGTGTCAGTTCAGTGTGGTAATGTGAATTATCTTCTGAGAATTAGAGGCACTAAGAATCAAAAGCGTTAATTAGCGATCATAGATGTCATGAATGAAAATGAAAAGCAAAGTTATTAAATTAATGCAGTTCTTTGGACAGAACTTTTCAAAAAAATGGGATCACTGGCAGGAAAATAATAAGACTGGAACCACTGTCCTAGACCCAGAGAATTGTAGTTTTGGAATCTTACCTTAGAGAGAATTTCAGCGACCCCCTCACTGAGTGGATGAGGTAAGGTATTAGCGGTTAGAATCTTTCCTCAGAGCACACAGATAGCTAGGGTTTGTTTCTATATTCGGCATTAATACTTTCACATCACCTTTAATTTCTGACTTAAAGTTTTTATATCACATGAAGAATAAATTCCTCAGGTTCTCATAGGATGACCCCTGCCTGCCAATATGTGATTATGTTTGGGCACCATCGCTGTATTTATCTTAGTGTAGTTTTTGATATTTTATTGTCATTTGCCCCATTTTAAAAAATAAGTGGGAAACTGATAAATGAAGGCACTGCTACTAGGAATAAGAAGTATAGATCGTGTATAATTGAGGAGATGGTGGAAATCTTCAAGCACGCTAACTTTGTACCAGTGTCAGCCTCGGCTGTACCTTGGTGCACACCCTTGACTTCAGCTTCAGAGGAATGCAAAATTAAAGACAAAATGCTGGAAGTAGCTCATCAAAATTGTCTGAACATTAATTAAAGATTAATTAGGGGGTTAAATTTATTTCAGCCCTATGGGAACACCCACGTTCCACTTTTATTTTAGTTTTGCACATATTTTCTGGAAATCTTCATGTATTAAGGTAGGAAACTGTGTGTCAATTGGAAAATGTCTTTTGTGTTAGTATAGCAAGTACATCTTAAAGGGTTTTTTCTCCAGTTTGTAAGTTCCCAGTTGGTGTGACTTTGAAATCAGGCTATTTTGAAATATATTTATTCGTATTTTTAAAATTGTACATTTACTATTTAGATATAATAAAAAGTTAATTTATACCTTCGGAGTGTAAATATCCTATGTCCTCTGGAATATGGAACTTAATGGACCATACGATAGACCATTTCTACTAATTCTTTCCACAACTTATGTAGCAAACATCCTCCTAACACAGAATCATCCTCTGTCCTTCAGCCCCCATCTCCCTCAGCAACGCGGTGCAGCTGAGGCAGGGCACCCTGGCCGCCCCTTTCATTCCTAGGTGGATGGACCAGCGGGCTCTGTCCCTAGGAATTAGTAAAGTACCAGCTCATGTAGCTATCATAATGTTATATAGCACATGCAGTTTCACACATCCAAAAGAAATAATGGCAAGAAAAAACTCTATTTTGGAGTTACATAAAGAGAAGGGAATGTCATTGTCTCCTCGCTCTAGAAATGGGACATCTTAGAGGAACTATCAGGGAGGCCCATGGAAGAAATCCATGACAGCCTGCCTTAATATTGTACATGAACAAAGAAGACAAACTCGATAGGAAGCACATGAATGCCTCGCTAATAAACAGTAAGCTAGATTCTCTGTAGAAATTTGAGTTTAAAAAGCCAATCAAAAAGGTCAAGAAATGCTGTATCTTGTCCAAGTAAAATCTAGAAATGGTTGACAAAAAAAAACACCGAACAAAACCAAAATAGTTAGGAGCAGTGCATTTATTTTCTTGATGATATAGTTGAAGGTTTGGAGAGAGAGAAAGCCTCCTGAATGGAGCTATTGAATGGCTCGATTTCATAAACTTAAGCATCTGGAAATGTAACCATTATGTCACTCACATACCAGAGAAAACTGTGAGTATAGCAGAAAACATAAGTACTGGAACCTGTTTTTCCCCCTTCTTGAAATTCCTCAATCTATACCAATGGTAAAGAGACATATTATTTTTAAATAGTCTGCTTCTGTTTTCAGAATCACTATTAGCCTTTGCTACAAAAAGCTGGTCATGTAGAGCCTTTCTGTTGGTGATTGTTTTTAATCCAACACCAGCTCCAAAGACTTTTGCAAAACAGATTTGTTAGTGTTTCAGATCATTTTTTCTTTTAGGCTATTTATATTACAAAGAAACCAAATGTAATTTAAGGAAACAAACAAGTAAACCATATACCTCTGACACTAACAAGATCTAAATTACATTAATCTTGCATATTATCTTAAGTGGGGAAAATGAATGAATTTACAAAAAATATAACTCAATTCAAGTGATGGGTTGGTTTCTAGCATAATACACAACCTCTTTTCTCTTCTGGAACAGTGTATTATAAAGATACCACTAGGATGAATAGTCGAGTGACAGGGACAACATAAGTGCCAAATTTATCCTTGTTTGATCAACGCTGCAAGCCCTGTTATTATGAAATTATATAATGTTTAGGAGGTAATGCTTTTTAAAATGGGATCCAAAAATACTCTTATTGAGAAATAATTTGAATATTTGACAAAAGCTTGTTATTACCTTAAAGTTTCTTTTATTTAAATTCTGTAGAGCAAGGTTTATTAATGTATGCATTCATTACTTAGAATGTCTTGAACTTACTTACCTAGGACATGCCTAACAGCAGATAGAGTTATGGGTTTATATACAAGTGATCTCAGTATTTGGAGAGTTGGCTTACTTGTGCTTATTTTTAATATATTTATAAATGGGGGGTGGGGATCAGCCTCCTGAGTTTACTGAGTTGCACAATTTCTTTTCTTCAAAGGATACTATGTGAAACTGTGAAGGACTTCGTTGCCAAAGTAGAGAAGGCCTATGAGAAAACGTTGGAAAATGCTGTTGTAGCCGATGCTGTGGCCAGTAAAGTAAGGACACAAACAGGGCATGAAAGGTTTTTACTGACAGTGTTGACATTGAATTTGTTTTATAGCTAAATTGATTAAGTGGTTTTCCTGCCAAAAGATCGTAAATCAAGAGAAAAATTACTTTTGAATCAGATATGACTGTTTAAAAACATTCTATCTTATGGTTACCCCTTAAGATGTAGGAAAACTTCTTGCTGAAGACCACCTGACAAACTGAATTTTATATGCGCTCTCCCTGTTCCCTGTTTGACATGGCGAAGGAGAAATGTATAGTAGTCAGGTCACCAGGGGCAAGTGCTGGGGGGCTGGGGTTCCAGGGGAGAGGGGAATGCTTTCCAGTTCCTCAGGTTCCCTAGACTTTACAGTCTTTGTACCTTTCAGGGTTCTGTTTGTTGCCTTTATAGATTTTTTTCCCCTTTGAGAGCTTTCTGAGGCTAATATAAGAGTAGTTTACTAAACCTTAAAGCTGCTGTCTGCTTGTGTGCATTTGTGGCAAGGCATTTTACAAAAGGCATGGCGCTCTTGGGCTTGCAAATAAATTATCTCCCCCAGATTCATGCTATAGATGGTGGTTTATTTGAGTGGAAGGAAAATAAAATAGAAATAAACATACAGTTGAAGTTTTCAGCCTCTTTCTCCTTCTTTTCTACTCTGTGGAGAGATTCAGAAAACAGAAACCCTCTCTACGGACACTTTTCTTTTAACTCTTTCTGCTGTAACTTTGTCTTGGCATGTTATCAAAGACAAATAAATGGAGAAGGAAAGAATTAGAAATTCAGTCCTAAATGTTTTTTTTACCCCTGGTAATTCAAGAAAAGCAGAAACAGGGGCTGAATGCCTGTGCATTTTCCTTTTTGCTCTTTCTTTGAGCCAATAATTCCTCAGGCACTGTTCACTCCTTTGCAAACCAAAACTTTGAAGGTGGGTTTATCAAGGCTCAGCCAGAAGTTGATTACCTTTAAAAAGTGTTACTGTGATATTTTGTACACTGTATAGCAAATTTTGTATAATGTTTAATTTTTTTGTGTAATGTGTCATTTTATAGTAAAGTGTTTTCTTTTCTTTTTTTTCTTTTTTTAAGGAAAAATAGCTATGCAAAGATTGTAAAGATTTTCACCCATGGAATCTAAGTGGTTCTGGAAGTGTAAACAAATTTACATAATAATTGTGTTTTTCAAAATTATAAATTATTTAATCCATAGGCTGTCTAAAGTACAATGTATAATAGCCAATTAATGGCAAACATCAATAGAGCACGTTTCCTCTAAAATTAGAAACCATTCATTTAAATTACCATTTTTCATCTCCCCTAAATGGAGAGTCATTGTGGCATTCTTGTTCTCTCAGTGTTCAGTCCTCAATGAGAAGCTTGAACAGCTGCTCCAGGCTTTGCGCACAGATTCCCAGGCTGCTCAGGTTCTCCCAGACATCAGCCCTCTCATTGTAGAAGAAGATGCTGTAGAATCTTCCAGTGAGGAGTCCTTGTGGGAAAGCAAGGAACAGCTCTTGGATGACACCACAAGACCTTCCTCCCAGAAAGCAGTCAAACCAAAGGAAATAATGTTGCGGGCAAACAGTTTAAAGAAAGCAGTGAGGCAAGTCATTGAAGAAGCCGGAAAAGGTACATGTATTAACAAAACGGGCTTTTTGAGAAGTGAGCAACATTCTCGTTGCAAGACAATGAAACTATAATGTATATAATCTTAGAACTTCCGTAGTAGACTAAAAGTTAATTTTAATGTAGATAATAAAGTATCCAAAACCCTTTACAGGTTGTAACTTATAACTGGACTTGTAGTTCATTCTCTAAAATTCTTATATTTTCTTTTTTTCTTCTAATGAAAATGTAATTTTGACAATTTAATTTTATCATCTCTAGTACTTACAGACATTACCCTTGAGTTTATTGCCAGCTAGTGTTTGTGACTGGAATTTCTTTTGCTTTATGTTTCAGTTTTCCTTCCCTCATAAGCATATATTGATATTCATAGATTTCATTTTTTCTTGTTTCAACATGTTTATCTTCTTATTACTTAAAGTTATGGATGATCAGACAGTTCACTCCTGTGAGCCAGTTAATCANCTTTTCTTTTGCTTTCAGTTTTCCTTCCCTCATAAGCATATATTGATATTCATAGATTTCATNATGTTTCAGTTTTCCTTCCCTCATAAGCATATATTGATATTCATAGATTTCATTTTTTCTTGTTTCAACATGTTTATCTTCTTATTACTTAAAGTTATGGATGATCAGACAGTTCACTCCTGTGAGCCAGTTAATCAGTCATTCGATGATGATAGTACAGAAACAGACGAGTCTAAAGAGGACTCTAAAGATGATGATGCGAAAGAGTCATTAACTGGTAAGAAAACTAAGATAAAGTTATTTTGAAATTAAATAAAATATAATTGTGCTTTTCATTTTCAAAAGGCTTATCAGTTTAAAATAAATGATTTGTATTTTATTTTCAACGAGGCTTTTTGAAATTTAAAGCTTAACTATTCATGAATACTAAAATAATAAAGGTAACATTATTTAGACTATTAAGTTCTCTCACATCTTTTTATCATATAATATAGAGATTATTATAGTAAACTATGGATTATAGGACCAAACATGCTTAAATATCTCAATTTTCCTGAAGAAAGAGAGAAGAAACAAAACACCTAAGTCACTAGATTTTTACCTACTTGAACTCACACATTCCTTTGAGAATCATATGAAAGCTGCAGGCCCCACATGCATAAAATTTGGCATTTAAATAATTTATCAGTTCCTTGAGTTCCACTGATCAGCACATAGATGGTTGATAATCTTTGTTGCTAAATTAAGCTTAAACAATCATACGATATCTAGTTACAACCCTTTTACTGCTGAAATTAATTTTACCAATAAGTTAATATGTAGTTGCTTGAAGAATAATTAAATATTTCTCTGCATTTTAAGTTTGAATTGAGGATGGATTTATACTTATATTGTATAAGGGAAAATTTAATTTACTAGAATAGAACAAAGCAGAAATTACAATGTTTATGAAGATGAGACAATAATATGAAAATAATTACATAGTATGTAAAGTCAACACTTACCTTAGAGCTGTTTGCAGTCATTATATTTTTACTTTCGTTACATATAAACTTGGGCAGATTACTCTTCTGTGCCTTCCTCATCTGTAAAATGGGGATAATAATGTACCTGCTTCATAACAAACCTACTTGTTGCAAAGGTTAAGTAAGTTAATATATATACAGTACCTAGAGTAATGACTCAGGCATAGTGCTGTTTGTATAAGAGTGTTTATTGTCATTGTCATTATTGTTATTGCTTCTACTGCCAGTGCTACTAATTACACTCACTTTGAAAGACTATTCCTTAATTGTATTAAAACTCTGAGAGACTTCCAAAGTAGACCTTACAGACCTATGTGTCTGGCAAGCAGTGCGTGCATATCCTACAATCTTAGCCTTTTCACTTCCTATATACCTTTCCCAGCACACATGAAGTTGACACTTCCATTGTAGTTGGCAAAGGAAACTAAAAAATACAGATAGAGAGGTATAGGTTTTGACATTGGAATAGATAGATAATATGTTTTTAATGTTGCAGTATTTTATCTTATTGGTTGGCTAGTAATCCAGTTTAGTCAGAATCAGCAATAGAAGTGTTTCTGCATTAAATAATCATTATTTTTTGAAATAGTCATTGCATTATCATTATTTTGTGTAATAATTAATGTCTGAGATGTACAAAAGACAGTATATTAATATGATTAATGAGACATTTAAGAACCATGAAACATTAATTTACTTACCTGCATTGGAACATCAATCTTAGCCACTAGGACGCTCTCTGCTTTTTATCAGAGATGAATATCAAAAGGTTGTTTTTATTAGAAATTAGCCCCAGGGCTTCCATCTGTCAAAAAGAAAAAAAAGTCTGGTCTGTTACTTTTCTTTAGTGCAACTGGACTGGTTTTGAACAAAGAAGAGAGTGTAAGATTAATATAGTTAGTTTGTAATTAGTCTTAGGAAGAGTAAAGGTAATTAAGTTTTAGAATATTTTTAAATTGAATTTGAGGGTTACTGTTTTTTTAAACACCTGCCAATAGCTCCTAAATTAGTTAATGATATATGTGCTCTCCATTAAAATGGTCCAGTTTAGGTAGAATTAAATCTCTCTTTTTGTTGTTAACTTTGAGAGTAATTCTCTTTTGGAACAATTTTTAAAATGTATTGAGCTTTTACAAAAAAAGATAGGACTGTTTGAAGCAAATCTTTGTTCTGAATAACTAATTAAGAAGTGCAGGAAAAGTATATTGCTTTCATTTGGAAAAAATACGATTTTTTCTTTCATTTGTAGAAGAAAATGTTAACTCATGGTTAACATATTAGTTCTGGGAATTACATTAATTAAATTTGATCATTCAGCCAACATTGATGAAAAAGGATTGCATTGATAATATACATAACACATATGTTTTATTTTTAAAAATTATCAGGTTTCAGAATTTCTTTTTATCTTTATGTATGGGGTGATCACATTCAAATTATGAGTATTACTGACCTTTAATAATGGTAGGCATCTCTTTTGTGATGATCTCCATCTATTTGAAATGAGAGATCAAGATGAAGTTTCTCCAAATAGTAAATCTCAAGAAAATGAAAACAAAATGGAAAAATAGGTAAGCACAGTGTAATATTTTCGTTTCCACAGATTGATTTAAACATGTATTAAATTATTTTATGTTTTAAATTTATAGGGGCTTGCTCGTTTCTGTAACTTTATCATTTCTTTTTAATCTGGACCTTTTGCCAACAGTTAAAATTGCACCTCGGTCTCCAGATGGTCGGGCAAGTCGTTCCCAGACTGACTCTGGCCCCTGTCCAGCTGTGGCAGGCAGCAAAGAAAACCTCCCTGTGCTCAATACCAGGATAATCTGCCCAGGTAGTACATATTCTGAAACATGGTATATTTTTAAGTATTTCTGTGAAAATGTATAGCTGCTCATTTCTGTGAACTATTGAAATGTATTCTTTTTGTTGTTAATCCCCAGCCAAGGATTGTTTTTTTCATTGCTTTTTTAGANGTTAATCCCCAGCCAAGGATTGTTTTTTTTCATTGCTTTTTTAGAGAGAGTGGAAGGGAAGGAGGGGAGACAGAGGGGNAATCCCCAGCCAAGGATTGTTTTTTTCATTGCTTTTTTAGAGAGAGTGGAAGGGAAGGAGGGGAGACAGAGGGGGAGAAAAGGAGAGAGAGAAACATCAATGTGGGAGAGACAAATCGATTGGTTACCTACCCCACATGCCCCGACTGGGGTAATGATCGAACTTGTAACCCAGATACTTGCTCTTGACTGGGAACTGAACCTGAGACCCTTCAGTGCATGGGCCGACGCTCTAGCCACTGAGCCACACCAGCCAGCTGAAATGTTTTTTTTTTAAATAATTTTTTACTTTATTTATTTTTTAAAATATATCTTTATTGATTTCAGAGAGAGGAAGAGAGAGAGAGAGAGATAGAAACATCAATGATGAGACAGTCATTGGTAGGCTGCTTCCTTCACACCCCCTACTGGGGATCAAGCCCAAAACCCAGACATGTGCTCTGACCGAGAATCGAATGGTGATCTCCTGGATCATAGGTNGGCTGCCTCCTTCACACCCCCTACTGGGGATCAAGCCCAAAACCCAGACATGTGCTCTGACCGAGAATCAAATGGTGATCTCCTGGATCATAGGTTGATGCTCAACTGCTGAGCCACGCTGACCAGGCTGAAATGTATTCTTAAAGATAAATGTCCCTTCAGGAGAATGTGCTTGGTATACTTACTAACCAGAATCCAGATCCTTAAACTTTTGTGTGTATAAGAATTGCCTAGAAAGTATTAAAGTACGTGTTTATGGTTTCTGCCCTGAGAAATTTTATTTGAGTAGTTCTAGAGTGGAACCCAGGAATTTGCATTTGTTAAGTACCTAAGGTAAGTCCAGTCTTATATTCTACTACCCTTTGAGTGTCTTCACAGCTTTCCTTTTAGTTTTAAGCCACAAGTCTCTGCAGTTATTTTTGGACTAGAAACATTGTTTCATTTTAGAACGTTTGAGAAATCTNATACATGTTTATGGTTTCTGCCCTAGAAATTTTATTTGAGTAGTTCTAGAGTGGAACCCAGGAATTTGCATTTGTTAAGTACCTAAGGTAAGTCCAGTCTTATATTCTACTACCCTTTGAGTGTCTTCACAGCTTTCCTTTTAGTTTTAAGCCACAAGTCTCTGCAGTTATTTTTGGACTAGAAACATTGTTTCATTTTAGAACGTTTGAGAAATCTATTCCAGACCTGATGAGATGAATTTATTTTAGAATTAGGTTTGTACTAGTGGAAACCAAAGAACTTGTGCAGCACAAGAGGGAGGAAAATATAGATGTCTGGGAGGCCTTCTTNAGAGGAAAATATAGATGTCTGGGAGACCTTCTTAAGTACCATCTATTTGAATTAGTGAAAACTCTCCAGAGTCTTTCCAGAGTAGATTTAAGCCCAAATTACACCCTGAAATATAACACACCCTTGTGTCTTCTACAAGTTATTTTTGAAGGTGAATCACAATTCATTAATAATAGTTGGAAACTTTAGTACCCTTCTTTTAATAGTGGATAGAACAACTAGACAGAGATCAACAAAGAAATGGGAGACTTGAAAAACACATAAAACAAGTAGTCATAACAGATGTTTACAGAACACTCTACCCAATAACAGTAGAGTATACATTCTTCTCAAGTACATATGGAACATTCTCCACAATATACCATTATTAGGCCATAGAACAATTCCCAGTAAATTTAAAAGGATTGAAATCATACAAAGTACATTCTCTGACCACAATTGGAATAAAATTAGAAACCGATGACAGAAGGAAATTTGGAAATGCACAAGTATGTGGATCAAAGAAAAAAATCACAGGAGAAATTAAAATATGCTTTGATATGAATGAAAACAAAAATGCATCATATACTAAAACTTATTTGATGCAGCTAAACCAGTACTTACAGTGAAATTTGTAGCTTTAAATGCCTACATTAAAAAAAGTATAGAAAGATCTCAAAAACCTAATTCTCTAACTTAATAAATTGAAAAACAGAAGAGCAAACTAAGTTCAGAGCAGCAGTAGGCAGGAAATCAGTGAAGATTAGAGTGGAAATATATGAAATTGAGTATAGAAAACAATACAGAAAAACAATGAAACCAAAATTTGGTCTGTGAACAGATTAACAAAATTAACAAACCTTTACACTGACCAAGAATATAAGAGAGAAAATTCAAATTACTGAAATCAGGAATTAAAGTGAGACATCATTGCAGACCTTATAGAAATAGGAGTATAAGAGAAAAACAAATTAGATAACCTAGATGAAATGGACAAACTCCTAGAAACACATAAACTACCAAAAATGTTTCAAGAAGAAATAGAAAATCTGAGTAGACCTTAAACAAATAGAGAGAATGAGTTAGTAATCAGAAACTTTTCTATAAAGAAAATCCCAGGCCCAGGTTGCTTCCACTGGTGACGTTTAAAGAAGAATTAACACCAATCCTTCACAGACTCTTTCAAAAACTAGAAGAGGGAAAAACATTTTTCAGCATTCTGTGAGGCCAGTATTACCCTGATGTCAAAAACATCACAAGAAAACTACAGATCAGTATCCTTTATGAATAGCANCACTCTTTCAAAAACTAGAAGAGGGAAAAACATTTTTCAATATTCTGTGAGGCCAGTATTACCCTGATATCAAAACCAGTCAAAAACATCACAAGAAAACTACAGATCAGTATCCTTTATGAATAGCACACAAAAATCCTGAACAAAATACTAGCTAATTAAATCCAACAGCTTTAAACAGTTATACACCATTACCAGTATTATCCCAGTGATGCAAGGTTGATTCAACATAATGAGAATCTATCAGTGTGATACACATTAATAGAGTAAGGACCAAAATCACATCATCATCTCAGTAGATACAGAAAAGGCATTTTTAAAAAGTCAACATCCTCCAATGGTAAAAACACACAACCAGGAATAGAAAGGAACTTCTTCAGCCTGATAAAGGGCATCTACGAAAGACCTACGGATGACATCATACTTAGTAGTGCAAGGCTGAAAGCCTTCTAGGATCAGGAATAAGATAAGGATGTCTGCTCTTCCTACTTCTGTTCAACATTGTATTGGAGGTTTTAGCTTGGGAAATTAGGAAAAATAAAAAGAATTAAAGACATTTAAATTGGGAAGGAGGAAGTAAAATGTATGACTTTACGATTTATGTTGCATGTAGAAAATCCTAAGGAATACATATACACACACTATTAGAGATAATAAATGAGTACAACAAGGTTGCAGGATAAAAGATCAGTACACAAAAAGTAATTGCATTTCTCTACACTAGTAATGAACAATCTTAACATGAAATTAAGAAAATAATTTCATTTACAATAGCAACAAAAGTAACAAAAAATAGGAATAAATTTAAGTAAGAAGAAGGTGAAAGATTTGAATACTGAAAACTACAAAATATTGCTGACAGCAATTAAAGATGACCTAACTAAATGTAAAGACATCTGGTTCATGGATCAGAAGATAAATATTATTAAGATGGCAACTCACCTCAAATTGACTACAGATTCCTCACAANAAAAACTTTTTTTTAAAAAAGACAGAAAACAAATATTGGCAAGGACATTGAGAAATTGGAACTGTCATACATTGCTGGTTAGAATGTAAAATGGTGGAGCTATTTTGAAAAGTTTGGCAGCTCCTCAAAGAGTTAAACATAGAATTAACATATAACCCAGAAATTCACATACTAGGCATCTACTGATGAGAACTGAAAATATGTATCTACAGTGGAATATTATTCAGCTATTAAAAAGAATGCGGCCCTTATATACATTATAACATGATTACCCTTGAAAACATTATGCCAAGTGAAAGAAGCTTGACACAGATAATTCCGTTTATATGAAATGTCCAGAATAATCAATCCATAGAGACTAAAAGTAGTTTAGTGGTTTTCAGGAACTGGGGGCAAGGAGGAATGGGAAATGACTGCTAATAGGTATGGGGTTTCTTTTGGGGGGTAATAAAAAAAAGCTCTAGAATTAGATGGTTGTGATCATTGCACAAGTTTGTATGTATACTAGAAACAACTAAATTATATATTTTTAAAGGGTGAATTTTACAGTATGGGGAAATATATCTCAATGGAAATATTATATCTCAGTGAAAATATTAAAATAAAAAAGATAAATCCAGAATATGCTTGATTCTGGAAAGGCCTCCATGTCTAGAGGTCATGTCTCTATTCAAACCTGGAACCTTAGGATGACCTTTCTGGGCTGAAGTTGTAAATATGGCTAACTTTAAAACATTTTAGAAAATATTACACTTTTCTGTGGGACAGGTAGAATAAGGCTCTTTACCTCTTTAAACTCTTCTTTCCTCTTATCAGAACCATTGCTTTGTTCTTTTATTTACTTACTTAGAATATGCTCTAGCATATTCAAACTAAGATTAAATGACAGAATAAAATTCATCTTGATTATTTGATAATCAGATAAACTTTAGTATCTAAAACAATGAGTAATAATCTAAGAACNCATAAAGTCTGCTCTAGCATATTCAAACTAAGATTAAATGACAGGATAAAATTCATCTTGATTATTTGATAATCAGATAAACTTTAGTATCTAAAACAATGAGTAATAATCTAAGAACACATTGGGAAAGAAATGTTTGCTTAAGAAAGGACTTTATTTTTATCTAATTTCCTCGTATTTCTCAGTTGCATAATGTATTTTTCTTTACTAGTTTTCCTTTCTGTTTGTGCTCTTAAGCCCCTATTACATTGTCTTCTCTCCAGACTTGAGTGCTTCTAGCCTTCATATTGGGTTGAGTAGATAATAAATTCATTAGCTTTTGAATCCCATTACTAGTTAGTAGAAAGCATATTGAAGTAAATTTAAAGTTTTGCATATGTAGAGGTAAGAAAAATGCTTAATTTTTATGTTTAATACTGTATTCTTCTAAAATTTAGTAATATCTACATTTGATATTTTACTGCTTATTGTTGACACCAACGTGTGTTTTCACCTTAGTACATCTGTTAACATTTTAAATTGAGTATTATTATCTATGCTTTGTGTGTATGGAAGTGGTAACTCCATGACATTTTGGGTGATTCAGCCTTTATTGTAAATTTCTTACAGTCTTAATACTTTATTTGCTGTAACAAAGGAAGTAAGATTTGTTGAAGTTAGAGAATCATTGGGATGGTAAATGAGAAACTGTCTCCAAGAGACTCCTATTTTAGGTACTCACCTGCTTCATTTTTTTTTTATAGCAACATATAGACCCTAAGAAGCATCAAAACCCTTGTACCTAGCAATGTCATAATTCTTAATTTTTATTAATGAGAAGAGCAGGCACTGAAACCCGTGCTTTGGGAACAAGATGTTTGAGATTAGCCCTGAAAACAATAGACTGGATTTTTCTTATCATGTGACCGTGCATATATTCATTTTCTCCTGTCCAGGTTTAAGAGCAGGACTAGCTGCCTCAATTGCTGGGAGTTCTATTATCAACAAAATGTTACTAGCAAATATTGATCCTTTTGGTGCAACGCCATTTATTGACCCAGATCCAGATTCAGTGTAAGCAAATTCTTTCACAGATATTTTGTTCTAGCTTTTCTTGTCACTGTCTTATGCTAATGCTAATATTTTTAAAGTATTATAATAAATACAGTTCTGTGTACAAAAAGAATCACCAGAAAATTTCAGCGGTTGATAACGATGAGCACAGTGGCCACGTGAAGTATAGTGGTTTTTCCCTCCAGCCTATTGTCTCGGATAACAAGCCTATGGCGAAGGGAGACACCACCCTACTCGCTTTTCTCTGGAACGTTTTATTCATAGACTCCTTCATATCCATATTCATGCTGTTCCCTTCACCTCCTTTCTTCTTGGTCTTGCCAAATCTGTCATCTTTCCACTTCCAGCTTCTGGGTTTAGTTATTTCAGGAAGCTTTTGGCCCACAGTGATCTCTTCCCTTCTTAAACTCCTAAAGTTTTTTTTGGTAGTTCAGTATATGCTTCCTTTTACTTCCATATTTAATTTTGCCTTTATTATATCTCATTTTTCTGATGACAGTCCTCAATGACAGTATCATATTTTGAACTTTGTACTTTCCAAAGTACCTAGAAGAACGGAATAGATTTAGTAGTTTTTTTTGCTGAGTAAGTACTTGGTCCATTGATAAGAGCAGGAGTGGAGGAGTCTTTCTAATGATAAAAAGAGTATTGGACCTGATGCAAGCCCTCCCATTTGTGTGTGTAGTAGGGGGCTCACAGAGGAGAGAGAACTAAGATGTTGTTACAGATAGTAAAGAAGCTTTGCCATGATTCTTTCTTCACTTTGCCTTGCCCACCATCCCTTTATATGTTACCAACATTTACTCACACATACTGGAGTCGAGCATATTTCATGTGAATAGGGGATTTCTGCTTAGCTTTTCTCTTTGGAGTGGAAGCTTCAATGGTGTTAAGTGCTGTGTATAAGTTATAATTGTTATGAATCTGAAATTGACTTTTATATACTTTTCCTTATTATCATAGAGATGGATATTCAGAAAAATGTGTCATGAACAATTACTTTGGGATTGGATTAGATGCAAAAATTTCATTAGAATTTAATAATAAGAGAGAGGAGCACCCTGGAAAATGCAGGTAATTTTGGTAATAGTAATAATGTTATTACATGAAGGCAATTTTACTTTAATTTCATTTATTATCTCTTTTGCTTGCTCTGCCTTTAAAGACTAAATAAATAGTCATTCCTGCCAACATTTATTTTCAGGAGCCGAACTAAAAACTTGATGTGGTATGGAGTCCTTGGAACCCGAGAGCTACTACAGAGATCATACAAGAATTTAGAACAGAGGGTTCAACTTGAGGTAAGTTCATCTTGAAGTAAAGGCATTTTAAGTTATCTTACTTAGAAAAATTATTGTATTTGTGGAGTGTATTTGGCCAAAATTCTTCTTGATTAGTGTTTCAACATTTGAGGGGGGGGAAATGGAAGTAGTTACCAACTTTCTACTAAAGAAGGTATAGACACTGGGTATGAGTGACACACTTAATTATCATAATCACTAGCTCCTGAAATTTGTATGCTGCTGTGGAGTCATGGAACCCCGTGAAAAAGTGGAACCATGGGAGTATATTTATAGGATAGCATTTTTAATGAATTTCCTCATTTAAATTTCCAAATTCTTACCCAATTATATAATGCCTGAAGTTTCACAACCCCTGAAAACAGCATTTATTGTATTAAATAGAATATTTTAATTTAAATGTCTTTTTTGTTCTAATTATTTCTAACAAGTTAGTAAATGAAAAAGAGATTTTGAACATTTAAGTTTTTTAGTATTTTTTTACTAATTTAAATAGGGCATTAAGGTCAGCAGAAGTTATTTAATCTCCTCCAGTAACAGGAAAAAGAAGATTGGGGTCATGGCACTGAAAAGTCTACTAATTTCTGTGACCTTTATTTTCTTTTTCCCTTGTCCAGGGCTGTTTATGCTGATAGGCATTTCTTTCCTATCTTGTACCTTTTTATAGCCAGATATTTCTAATTAAGGTATGTCCTAAATACCAAAAAGTGAGCAAATCTTACATCTGCAGCTCAATGAATTAAACAGAGTATTATTTTTTTAAATATATATTTTTATTGATTTCAGAGAGAAGAAGGAAGAGGGAGAGAGAGATAGAAACATCAATGATGAGAGAGGCATTGATTGGCCGCCTTCTGCACGCTCCCTGCTGGGATCGAGCCCACAACCCGGGCATGTGCCCTGACTGGAATCAGATCTTATCTCCTAGATCATAGATCTATGCTCAACCACTGAGCCATGCCAGCTGGGCACAGAGTATTATAATTTTAGGTGTTATTTTAACACTGGAATGTGGACTTACCAACTAAATGTTCTAGTAAAAATAAGCATCTTATATTTTCTACTTCTAGAGCACTGACTACTTGATCAGCTATCTTGATTTATCAGTGCTTATAAAGTTAAGATAGAGGTTACTGGAGGAAAAGGTGCAGAATCTGGAAGGTTCATGCCAGTAAACACTGTCCTTGAGAGCCCATCCCCAGATCAACTCGGGTTCTCTCCTATGTATTGTACTGTAATCACTCATCTTCTTCCCCATGTCCTCTAGTCGACCACACTCTTTTAGGACAGGTAGGATGTTGTATTCTTCTTGTTATACCCATTGTCTTGCACAACTCTTGGCCCTGTCTTGGGGGAGAAACAGAGGTAAATAATCATTTTACCATGATTTGGTAAGTCCAGTGAACTATCTGGAATGAGAATGGCTGGATTGCCTTAATTCCTTTAGCTCTTCAGAAATAGTATTTCTAACCTTTTCTACTGGTTTTCCAAATTTAGAACAAGACCGTCTTACTTACACAGCTGTATTTTACTATCCATTTAACATGGGTCTTAACCCTTTTTGAGCTGTGGCATGCTGTTGAAACCATGGACCTCCTCTCAGAATATTGTTTTTAAATGCGTTATATAAAATACATAGACTTAAAAAAAGAAACCAATAATATGGAAATAAATTAATGAAATAGTTTTAGACTATTAGAGAGTATGTTAAATTGAGCAATTTAGATAGACCTTCCTTCTGAAGATGTTCATTTTCTATACCATGCATCCAAATAAAGTTTATCTATTTATAAATCTTGAAGACTGCCCTAAATTTTTACATTTTTAATTTTTTTTAATTTTAATTCAGTTTAAACTAAAGAAAAAACAAACCCAGTTCACCCGTTTCTTCCATCCCCCATCCCCGCCTCTTGCCAACCACCAATCTTTTCTCTATCTATGAGCTTTTTTTTAAGATTCCATATCTATGAGAGATTTTATGGTAATTGTCTTACTCTGGCTTATTCACCTAGCATAATGCCCTCAAGGAATTTGTTGTTGCAAATGTGGTGATAATATATACACCACATTTTCTTTTCTTTTTCTCTTTTTTTTTTTGGTTAATCCTCACATGAGGATATTTTCTCCATTGCTTTTCAGAGAGAGAATGGAAGGGAGGGAGGAGAGAAAGAGAGAGAAGCAATGATGTGAGACACATCAACTGGTTGCCTCCTGAATGCACCGGGATCTGGGGTGCGGAGCGAACCTGCAACCCTTTGGTGGGAGGGCTGATGCTCTAACCACTGAGAAACACAGCCAGGGATACAGCACATTTTATTTATCCATTTATTCATCGATGGGCACTTATCTATGTTTCATATCTTGGCTATTGTAAATAACACAGTGGTGAACATGGGAGTGCATATATCTTTTCAAAGAGTGTGTTAATTTTCTTCAGAGAAATACCCAGAAGTGGAATTGCTAGGTTATATGATAGTTCTGTTTAATTTTTTGAGGAACCTCCATACTATTTAGTATATTGGCTGCACCAATTTACATTCCCACTAACAGTGCAAAAAAGTTCCCTTTTCTCCACATTCTTGCCAACATTGTTTCTGTTCATTTTGATGATAGCCATTCTAACAGGTATAGGGTGATAGCTCATTGTGGTTTTGATTTGCATTTTCATGATGATTAATGATGTAGAGCATCTTTTAATGTACCTGTTGGCCATCTTTATGTCTTCTAGGAAAAAATGTCTGTACAGATTTTCTGCCCATTTTTAAATTAGATTATTTTGCTATTGAAATGTGTGAGTTCTTTTTATATTTTGGATATTAGTCTCTTATCAGGCATATGATTTGCAATTATTTTCTCCCATTCAGTAGGTTGCCTTTTCATTTTGCTGGTGATTTCATTTTCTCTGCAGAACTTTTCAGTTTGATGTAGTCCCACTTGTTTGTTTTTGTTGTCTTATTATTTTTTTTGCTTTTGTTGCTTTGGCTTTGGTGTCAGATTTAAAAAATCATCACCAATACTTGTGTCAAGGAGCTTACTACCTATGTTTTCTTCTAGGAATTTTATGGTTTCAGGTCTATGTTCAAGTCTTTATTTTGAGTTAATTTTTGTGTGTTGTGTAAGATAGTGGTCTAGTTTCATTCTTTTGCATGAGGCTGTCCAATTTTTCTATCATTTATTGAAGATACTGTTCTTTCTCCTTGTATATTCTTGGCTCCTTTTTCGTGAATTAACTGACCATATATGCATGCATTTATTTCTGGGCTCTCTGTTCTGTTCCATTGATCTATGTGTGTGTTTTTATTATTTATCTTTATTGTTGAAACTATTATAGGTGTCCCCTTTTTTTCCCCATTGACCCTTTTCAATCCACCTGCACCCCCACCCATGCCAATACCATGCTGTTTTAATTACTGTAGATTAGTAGTATAGTTTGAAATCAGAGACTATGAGATCTCCAGCTTTCTTCTTCTTTCTCAAGATTGCTTTGGCTCTTTGAAGTCTATTAGGCTATTTGGCTATTTTTGTGGTTACATACAGATTTTAGGATTATTTGTTCTAGTTCTATGAAAAATACCTTGGAATTTTTATAGGGATGCTTTGAATCTGTAGATTGCTTTGGGTAGTGTGGACACAATATTAATTCTTTTAATTCATGAGCATCTAATATGTTTCCATTTATTTCTGTTTTCTTCAATTTCCTTCATTGAAGTCTTAGTTAAATAGGACTTTTTCTTAATTTCTCTTTGTGATAGTTCATTATCAGTGTNGTGTTTTCTTCAATTTCCTTCATTGAAGTCTTAGTTTTCAATATATGAGTCTAGGTATTTCACCTTGTTTAAATTCATTTTTAAGTATTTTATTCTTCTTGATGCTATTATAAATAGGACTTTTTCTTAATTTCTCTTTGTGATAGTTCATTATCAGTGTAAAAAATGCAACATATTTTTGTATGTTGATTTTGTATCCAGCAACTTTATAAAATTTGTTCATTAGTTCTAACAGTTTTTTGATGGAGTCTTCAGGGTTTTCTATATATAATATCTTCAAATAGTGATAGTTTTACCTCTTTATTTCCAATTTGGATATCTTTTCTTTTTTTTGCCTAACTTCTCTGGNATATCATCTTCAAATAGTGATAGTTTTACCTCTTTATTTCCAATTTGGATATCTTTTCTTTTTTTTGCCTAACTTCTCTGGCTAGAACTTCCAATGCTATGTTGAATAAAAGTGGTGAGAGAGTGGACACCTTTGTCTTGTTCCTGATCTTAGAGGGAAAGCTTTCAGTTTTTCACCATGGAGTATAATGTTAGCTGTGGGCTTGTCATATGTGGCCTTTATTATAAAATCTTTTTCAAAAAAATATATCTTTATTGATTTCAGAGAGAGGAAGAGAGAAAGTTAGAAACATCAATGATGAGTCATTGATCGGCTGCCTCCTGCAAGCCCTCCACTGGGGATCGAGCCCCCAAACCGGGCATGTGCCCTGACTAGGAATCAAACTAGTATCTCCTGGATCATAGATTGATGCTCAACTGCTGAATCACACCGGCTGAGCTTTATTATAAAATCTTTAAGATTGTTCTGAATTTTTTTGAAATACTTCTTTTGTATATATAGAGATAGGTTTTTCCCCCATCTCCTTGAAGTTTTATGTAATTTTAATAACTTTCTAAAGTACACAGGATACCTTATTAAGAATATTAGGTTCAGAAAAAGTTAGTCTGCTAAATATTTAATGTTCCTTCATTTAACAAATGCACACTGAGTTCCAGCTGTTGTGCCAGGAGTGGCTTTAGGTGCTGGGATACAGTGTGGACCTTTGAATGTTTCATGCAAAAGTAAAAAAAAGAATTATAAAAAAATGCCTGTGGGGATAAATCAATTATCATTTATTCTGTTATTTAAAATGGTTGAAAATGGGTTCAAACTGGATTCTCATTTGTCTTAAAGATTGAGATAATTTGATTGGACTTTACAATGCAATTTTTGTAAAGTTATGTTAATTATTTTTAGTGTTAACATAAGAATTATATAATGAAAATATAGCATGCATATTAAGTATGACACCTGCAAACTCTCCTCTTTTAAAATGAAGGCTTAAACCTTGTGTTCAGTAAGAATTTATTCATGTCGTGTATAATTGATTATTTAAGTGATCATTTAATTTTCATCTAAGTGATTACTTAGGCATGGAGTACAAGATACTTCTTGACATACGTGTGTTTTTTTGGATTTGGTTCTGATTACTTAAAAAACTCAGTTTTGAGTTTAACCAGTCACCAGTTAGTTACAGAGCACCAGCAAGATACTGGGAGTTGTGAGAGGTGCTAGATGAGATGGTTAGGACCCAGAGTCCACCCTCACAGCAGCTGCTTTAAAAGGAAAGCTTAAAATAAGTTCAAAGATGACCATAATATAAGTGGGAATATCATAACTGACCTGAAAAAAAAAACCCTCAAGTACTCCCTGATTTTGGTTGAAAGAAGAGGTAAAACCTTTTTTGTTTAGTTTGATTTTCTGTAAAAACTTCTGCTGTAGTTATTTACACTTTAAAATTTTTTAAATTAAATAAGATAAAAGTAATGTTAGGAATATATTTAAAGGAAAACAAATATTACCAACATACTTTCCTTCATCGTCCTTAGTCTTTGGTGCACTTGTGACTTCCAAACTAGTGGTTTTGCTCTTTTTAGCTAACTTCTAAGCTTTTTCCCTTACAGTGTGATGGACAGTATATTCCTCTCCCCAGTCTACAAGGAATAGCAGTATTGAACATTCCCAGCTATGCCGGAGGCACTAACTTTTGGGGTGGAACTAAAGAGGACGATGTAAGTATTTCCTTGCTCTTTCCAGATTCTAGAGGCTTCCCACATTCCTTGGTTTGTGGCCCCTTCCTGTCTTCAGAGATAACATCTTTCCGATCTCCTCTTCTGCCTCCCTCTTCTACTTTTAATGACCTTTGTGATTACATTGGGCCCACCCACATCATCTAGGATAATCTTTTCATCTCAGGATCCCTAATTTGATCACATCTGCAAAGTCTCCTTTGCCATATGAGGTAATATTTATAGGGGATTAGGACATGGACATTTTTGGGGGTGGGAGGGGGAAATTATTCTACTACCAAAATACCTTACTGTACTTTTAGTTTTCTGAATTTATGTAATATATTTTTTTAATTTTATAAATGTCAAGAGGGTTTATTTGGCCATTGAGGTTGAGTGCTATTTTTGTTTTCTTTTTATAATTTTCTATATTAAAAAAGAAAAACCCCACAACCTAACAAAGGTCGTTGTTCTAAAAATAAATTTTTAAGAGAAGGTACAATTATTAAAGTATATTTAACATAGAAATTAGAAGTGTTATCATGATCTTTCTTTGAAGAGTCACATATACATTAATTAATAGGCCCTTTGATTTGAGGCTTCTGATATAATGGTTGCACTGACCCATTTTCTCAGCACTATTAAATAAGCAGGCAGGAATTCAAGTATGAAATAAATTGGAAAGCATTTGTAATTTTTACAATATGAGAATACTCCAGTCCTATAAAAGTATAAAACTAACATTAGCAGTCAGTTTTTTGTCAGCCTTTCACTACTCTTATATAGATATGTGTGTATATATACACACACACATACATATATATTTTTAAATATGTTTTAATTGATTTTAGAGAGGAAGGGAGAGGGAGAGAGAAATCAATGATGAGAGAGTGTTATTAATAGGCTGTGTCCTGCACACCCCCCTACTGGGGATCAAGCCAGAAACCTGGGCATGTGCTGACCAGGAATTGAACTGTGACCTCCTGGTTCATAGGTTGATGCTCAACCACTGATCCACGCCAGCCAGGCATAATCTTAATTATTTTAGAAAGAAGAAATCAACTATGCAGCTGTAAAGAAAAAGGATCTCATACCCTTTGGGACAGTATGAATGGACCTGGAGAAAATTACACTAAGCGAAATAAGCCAGGCAGAGAAAGACAAACGTCACATGACCTCACATGTGGAATCTAAACACAATAATCTTATGAACAAAATAAATTCAGTGACTCCGAAGCATGGAACAGACTGATAAATCTCAGAGGGAAGGTGCGGGTGGGTGGTGGGGAGAGATTAACCAAAGAATCTATATGCATATATGTATAACCCATGGACACAGACAATAGTGTGGTGGAGGCCTAGAGCTGGGAGGGGCTCGGTGCTGAGTAGAAGGGGGTCAATGGGGAAAAAAGGGGACATCTGTAATAATTTGAACAATAAAAAATTTTAAAGATGAATAAAGCTAATGTTTCTTGAACACCTACTAAGTAGACAGTGTTCTGAGTGCTGCACTTTTATTAATGTGTACAATTTTCATCTAAATTTTATCAATAAAGAAACTAACACTTAGTTTACATAGTTAATAAGGAGATGGAGACAGGGTTTAAAACTAGGCAGTCTGATAACAAAAATGATAACAAATACCAATGTTGGCAAATTTGTGCCCTGATAGTTTCAGTGAAATTTGTATTTAGGATACTACTTTATACTGAATAATTTTTTTCAGAGCCATTATTATGTAAGATACAGTAAAAGAGAGAGTAAAAGGGACAAAGTAATACAGGTGAAATTTAAAATTTTAGGTTAAATTGATTTTGTGAAAACGCAGTTAACGTCAAAGCAAAGTAAACCTACATGATTTTTATTCCCTGAGGTTTCTATGTCCATATTCTCAAATGCCCTAAAAAGTTGTTGTATTAGACACTTTGCTCGCTGGATATTTTGAACCAGAACTACCCGGTGGGGTTGGCTTCTTTTCCATCATGACCAGTTAGCAAGGTGTTTAAAATTACTTAAATTAATGTAAGTGCAGATATGAGTTATCTGGTGACCGGTCAACAATGTTCAGACTTGGGAACACGTGTGTACTTGTAACCTGTCAGCAAGGTGTTTAAGATGGAAAGCACGTACACATATTGCCTGTAGCACCTTGAAAGATTTCCCTTAAAGCGTACCAAGTGAACTGGATCGTAATCTGCATGTTCATTAGCTTAAACCTTATGAAATCTGTATCCCCTTTTTGGGTTTTTTAGATTTCTTAAAACTACATGCATCATTTTGTCAAGACATCTGAATTATGTATGCACAGACACTTAGTACATTTTATACCAAGATGGATTATGAGGGGCATGAGTAATATGTCATGTGGGTTTTAAGACCTATTTTTATTATGTTTGTTTGTTTTAAGCCAGCTTCAGTGATATTTTGTCTTTGGGTTATCATTTCCTACTAATATTTACTTTTCTGCTGAGTATTTTTATGATTTTTAAAAACTATGTATATTGCAGAGTTTGCATTGCTCGATGTGCCTCTTCACTTAAACCTGACTCTATTAGTGGAAGTGTAATGCAGTCTTCCCTTTCAGATATTTGCTGCACCGTCATTTGATGACAAGATCCTGGAAGTTGTTGCAATATTTGATAGTGTGCAAATGGCAGTTTCACGGGTCATTAAACTACAGCATCATCGAATAGCCCAGGTTTGTCTTTCTAATCAAACTTGACTTCACTCCTTAGGACACTGGGGAAGCTATTTCAGATAACTCCTACACTTATAGTCACCTATAAAATACTGACTTTCTTGTCATGTCAGTTATTACTATGTCATCATAAGTGAAAAGCATTACCTACCGTTCCACGGTATAGGCTAAAGGTCAAGCTTTAACGTGGATTGAGTGTCAGTTTCACAGGATGAATTGTACTCTAAAATAATTTGTTTTATTTCAGTGCCGTACAGTAAAAATCACTATATTTGGTGATGAGGGAGTCCCAGTGCAGGTGGATGGCGAAGCATGGGTTCAGCCTCCAGGGATTATCAAAATTGTGCACAAAAACAGAGCTCAGATGCTAACAAGGGACAGGGTATGTAACCAAAAATATTCTCCTAGATTTTTATTAAGCCTTCTAAAAAATCTTAAATTATCGTAAAAAATAGGAATCAAGGAAAAAGGTTTGAATTGTCTTTTAAACCTGACATTTTAGTCATTGTGGTTTTAAATATGAAGAAATATTTTAGTTTTTTAAAAAACATAATAGGCTTATTTTTTTAGGTTTACAGAAAAATTGAACAGAAAGTACAGAGGGTTCTAATTCTGTTCCCACGTTCCTCATTACTTCCACAAGCACACACATTCCCCTATTATTAGCATCTTGTGTTAGCACATTTATTACAATTGATGAGCCAATATTGATACGTTATTATTAAGTCAGGTCCACTGTTTGTGCTATTCTTCTTTGGGTTTTGAGAAATGTACAATCACATGCATCCACCCTAACAGGATGACACAGAGTAGTTTCACTGCCCTAAACATTTCTTGCACTCCCCCTACCTATCCCTCCCACTCTTACCCTAGCCCCTGGCAACCACCTATCTTTACATTCTCCCCATAGTTTTGCCTTTTCCAGAATATGCATTTTTAATTAAAGTCACACACATAACAAATAAGACTGCCAATGTTTATCCTGTCTATTATACATATAATAGTAAAGACTGAAGCTGACTTTTTAAAAACATTTTAGTAATACATATTCATTATCATCAATTATATTACTTTTTATTTATTATGATATGCTGGAAAACTTTAATGTGTGTTTTTTGTACTTTTGATTTGTTTAATGATGTTAGATTAGGAAAAAAAGCAATAGAAGTTTCAAAGTCATTCATACAATATCTAAATCCACATTTATTTGGGTCTCAGAGCTCTAAACCAACAGCTCATTGTAATATTGATTTTAAACAGGCTTTCGAAAGCACTCTAAAATCTTGGGAAGATAAACAGAAGTGTGATTCTGGTAAACCAGTTCTTCGAACCCATTTGTACATCCAACATGCTGTTGACTTGGCAACGGAGGAGGTGTCTCAGATGCAGCTGTGCTCTCAGGCTGCGGAGGAGCTCATTACAAGGTACGGTGGTCCTGCTGGCCTTTGGGCTGTGAGAACTCTGGTCTTGGCCAGTTTTGTTTGATTAGTTTTAATACATCATTTCAGTTGTTGGGAGTATCTAGAAGAGATGCATTTACCTCACCTTCATCCACTCTCCATCAGATCCCCTCCAACACACACACACACCTGTGTTCTCTGCAGAACAGATCTGGGACTTCTAGAAACACATGAAGGGCTTGCCTAATGTACCCTACCACAGAGTACTCTTTCTGTTATTATGTATTTCCCCAGTTTATAGGCAGTCTTTGCTGGCATATATTGCCTTATAATGAATTATTAGTTAAATGTTGATGGAACATAAAAGGAAATACAAACATTGCTCCCAAGAAGAGTCGGGGGTGGAGGGGATGGGAAGAGTCCAAGAATCAGTTTCCAACAGACATATCACAAAGATTGGGAACCACACAGAAATTAATTTTAGTAGGCAGAAAAGGAAGAGATAAAAATAACAAGTTCTCTGAGTGTAAAACATAAAAATCGCTATGACCAAGAGTGAGTGACCTTCAAGGGGAGGGACCATGGGCAGTGGGATAATGAAGAGGCGCCTCACCCAGTCACTGAATGCTAAGTGTTAAATGCACAGTGCTTAGTAACACATCTCATCTGGCACATTTTGTGTTCTCTGAATGTTAGCTGTTATATTCTCCCCGCACCTTCGTCTGGTCACTGGTTAGTGTTGGGAAAAAAAGAAAAAGACACAAAGCTCAGCTGCACTGGAGCCTTCTTGCTCCCCCCGTCTCCTGCCCCCCCTCATTCCTTATTCTCTTCTTTCAGTATTTGTTAGACACCTAGACTGTGCTCAGTGTTAGAGATACTAAAACAAGATATACACTCCCTATTGCTGGAGACCAACATTCAAAATTAGAATAAAGTATGATCACTGCCAGCTACCAGGTAGCTTAGAAGAAATGTAGGGAAAATGAATATTTAGTCAGCTAAACTTATATAACTGCATTACTGTACATCTTAGCTTTTTATCCACAGAGATGTGAGTTTGAGAGTAAATGCATGTCTTTTAGATACTATAGACAATATCTTTGGGCTCCAATTTACAGTTTTCCCCCCCAGATTTATTGAGGTATAATTTACGTAAAAATTAAATATATTTAAGGTATACAATGTGATGATTTGATATATGTATACACTGTAAAATGGTTACCACAATCAAGGTAATAAATACATTATGGAAAACAGTATGGAGGTTCCTCAAAAACTTAAACTAGGACTACATCATTTTCTTAAAACCAAAATATGCTCCCTTGAAACCAAAATATACTTCCTATATTATCATCCTGTGAACCAACCAAATAACCTTATCAAAAAAAGGAAGTACAGCTTGGCCAGACTTCTCCTTGGTCAACATAGTTTGGGTCCCCATCTGTGTTTTTTTTTAATTCTGCAAAAGGTGAAGTTTAGGCTCACTGGTCAGTTTTCAGATTCAATATTCAACAAATATTCTGAGCCTCTTCTGTGCAGCAGTCACCAGTTTAGTCACTGGGAATGCCAGGGTGACTGTGTTGCAATCCCTCTTCTTAAATAAGAGTAGTAGAAGGGAGAAGTGTGGCTGAAGTGTTGTCACACAGTGGGTGCTGTGGTCACACAGAGGAGGCCAGAGGCAGTGAGGGAGGCTGCCTGGAGGAAGTGATCTCTCAGCTGAGTCTGGAAGGAACAGTAAGAAAGGAGCAAGCTAAGCATGGGAGCCAGCCTGGGGAAAGACCCAGAGGCGTGTGAGCGCATGGTATCTTCAGAAATCGTGGACAGTTTGGGGTGACTGAAATGTTGGCATGGTGTAGTTGAGGGTGAGGAAAATGTGGATGGAGAGCTGAGGAGGGGCCAGATCTTTATCAGGGCATTTCTGGAAGCAATGAGGAGCATTGTCTGCAGGACAGCAAAGCCGAGGCAGGGCGAACGCTGTCAGAATGGTCCTTAGGAAAGGATGGATTGAGGCAGGAGAGATGGAAAGGAGAAGAGAGATTTAAGACAGGTTAGGATCTAAAATTGATGTATGAGTGTGAGGAGGCAGATGACCCTAAGATTTCTAGTGAAAGGCTGGGTGGATTGTGTTGCCTTTGATAAAGGCATAGTATTCAGGAAGAGGAGCAGATTTTGAGAGAAAAATGGTGGGTGAGTTCCATGTTAGACTGAGAGAATTCCAATTACGTTAGAAATATATAGGAGGAGATACAGTTATCAGTTGGGAATGTTGATCTGAAGTTGATTTTCCTCTTTTTCTTTCTTTGAAAAGAAAATTACCCATCTCTATTCTGGTAAATAACCTGTTCTTCGTGTTTCTCATGGTTATTGGTAAGAATGCTGAGGTGACATTTGCAGGTTCCTTTAGGCCTTGGATGTCAGTTCTGTGATTCTTAAGAATGAAACTCTTTTCCTTTCTTGAGTCAACTATGTAGGACTTGTCTCTTTTGTTCTACCTTTTCCAGATTGAAGATCATTCTCCTCGAATATGTGAGACGCAAAAGGGCTTGAATAGTCTTGCCTTTTTTTAAAAAATCTATTTTTTAAAAATATATTTTTATTGATTTCAGAGAGAGGAAGGGAGAGGGGGAGAGAGATAGAAACATCAATGATGAGAGAGTCATGGATCAGCTGCCTCCTGCACACCCCCTGCTGGGGATCAAGCCCCCAACCTGGGCATGTGCCCTGACTGGGAATCAAACCATGATCTCCTGGATTCTAGGTCGATGCTCAACTGCTGAGCCACACCGGCCTGGCTAGTCTTGCCTTCTTGCTCATCTGCAAACCTTCCATCATTTTCTAGCAGTTGGTGGAACTTTTCCTCTATTCTCTTCTTTGGCCTTAGAGTCCTCCAGGATTTTGTCTTTCTAGGACTATTCTTGAAGGTTTCAATTCCAGAGAATGGTGGCACAACAGTTTTAGAGCCAGATAGACATAGGCTCAGATCCTGGCTCTATAACTTACTAGCTTTGTATACACACTAAATCTGTCTGAGCCTCAGTGTCTTCATAAAGCAGAGAAAATTAATCACAGCTACCTTTTAAGTTGTGAATATTAAGTTAGATAATATATATAAAGCACTTAGCATATAGGTGTTCAATATGGCAATGTTCTTCCCCTAATCTGTTTTATTTGTTCCTGGTTGAAGTTTCAGTGAATAAAAGATAAGTTTCTACTCTTAACATTTGGGACCCTCTTGCTTTCCAGTGATACTGCAAAATAAAGTGACTATATTTTGCTTTTTCAAATAGCACTTCAATAGATCTATCTCTGATTCTAATCTTTTTATATAAAGATATTTGTCTTAGTGTTCTTTGTTGCAGTGGGATTTGAATTTTCTAAATCTACCCTGTGCCATTCATAATTGAACATTTTTTTAAAAAATTCCTTAATGACCTTTATTATTATTATTATTTGCTTGCTTTAATCTACCACTTTTATGCTTTGGAAAAACCAACAATGCTTAAAAAAGTTTTTGGTGCATTTGTTTTGTTTTTGCTTTCAGGATCTGTGATGCAGCGACGATCCACTGTCTTTTGGAGCAAGAACTGGCCCACGCTGTGAACGCCTGCTCCCACGCGCTAAATAAAGCCAACCCTCGGTTCCCAGAGGTGAGGAGCTAATGGTAAATTCTCATTCCACAGATCTTTTGTGTGTGTCACCTATGTACTCGGAGACTAAGACGTGCCATGCCCTTTGAAAGAACATGATGTAGTGTACACGAATCTTTGCCAGGAGCTTAGGGTAAATTTGTGGCCAAATTTTCCTTTATTTTCTTCTTCCTACCATTTTTCATTCCTGCTCTTATGTTGTCTTCATGGTTTCTTTTCACTCTCCATAACTTGCCACCTTCCTTCCACTCTTCCTCCGTTCACTGCCATTCCTCCTCATGGACTCTTTTACCTTCGCCCCCGCGCCTAGGTATAGAACAAGCCTAGATACTCATTTTTTGCAGTTACGTACTAAAACTATTTTTACTTCATTTTGTTTCACTAAATTAATAAATTTAGTAGATATTTAATGTAGAAATTAAAGTTTTGTAACTTCTGTCATTTCTTTTCAATTTCTCAATGTAGAAGTTAATAGTAGAATAGATATAACTCCCTTGAAATGTGATACATTGTAAAGGCTTATAGTTGGTGCATACAAGAATGAGAAGAGTAATTATGCTAATAAACATGACTGAAACTGTGCAGTCATAATAGAATTTTGGTAGATTTTTAAAAATATTTGTGATGTGAATTTAAATTGGAAGAATGAAATTGAAAGTATTTGCTGATGATTGAATTCCAATTTAATACAGAATTACTTGTCTTTGATTTTTTTCCCCCTAGAGTCTTACGAGAGACACTGCCACTGAAATAGCCATCAATGTGAAGGCACTGTATAATGAAACAGAATCGTTACTGGTTGGCAGAGTTCCTTTGGTAAGGAAAAGAAGCGGTTGATCACATAAGAATGATGATACATGTATGGGTCTTACTTACCTTCATTAGGGAGCATGCATTTATCAGACTCTAATGCAAAAGCAGCCTTCTGGTCTCCATCCTTAGAGCTTCCTTTTTACCTAGCTTTTGCCTTCAAGAAAATATATGACTAAACCTGGAAGTTATGATTTAGTCTAACAAAAGATTTCCCCTTACATGTTTTCATGTAATCCTGCTCTTCTGGGTCAGTTTTGAGAGACTCTAGCTTTATAAAGTGAGAAGACATTCCTGAGTCATCATTAACTCATTATAGCAGAAAAGTGGAGGAAATAATAGATTTGTTCTCAAAATTAACATTAAAATATGATTGGTATGGTTTTCTAGATTTGCTTAAAAGACGACACTTTCTAGAGTCAATGTTTAAAGAACTAAATTTCAAGAACTAGGCCATATTCCTAGATTAACTCAAATTGGTGCTGGACATCAAGTTAGGCCAGCTCTGAATCTGGCCATAGTCCACGGACCTCCAGCATAAGTACTACAAAACCATAGATGTCCTCTTTGGTTTGCCCAGAATCCTTGCCTTGTCAGCCTTTTTCCCTCACCAGTTTCAAATGTTCTAGCTGTTAGCATGTTGGGTCTTTTCGCCACCTAGTGTTCATTTGTGGGTCATTCACACATGCTGTTGTAACTGTAAAAAGCCTAATTTTTCTTCCTTGTAACAATTCGGTTTAATTGATAGCTGATGATCTTAAAACGTTTCTCTTGACTGTAATTTTATCTCTTGCTTTGGAAAATATACACTTAAATAAAAGTGATATTACAAGTCATAGTGTCTAGCACAGTGGGAAAATGGGAGGTGTCTCATAGCTTAGCTAACTAATAAGTGACTGTAGTTGGAATTTCTGTTTGATTGGATCCAGAAGAGTGCCACCCTCAGAGCATCCTTTACTCTGAGAAGAGAAGCTAAAAGGCTGCATGAAGTCCATTGCTCTCACCTACCCCCAGGGGAAACTGAAATACAGCTTCCTCAAGGCAGGAGGTGGTTGCTTCTGCTATGGCCATGAAGAAGAACTTTTAGGAAGACATATTGGTTATATCTTTTGATGAAACCAATGGGAATCTTTTTGGCTATTCTTATTGTTTCTGTTATTAATCAGAATCTTCTTGCTGCTCTTCTGAAATTAGTCCTATAGGAAATCCAGTGAGCTGTGACTTTGGTCCCAATTTTTGGATGGAGGACATGTAGTTTTTGTGTTATTGGAAGTACATTTAATATAATTTCTGATTGACAAGAACTAGAAGCATAACTTATTTTGTATTTTAGTTCTCTACACCAAAAGTATCCATTGAGTATTATTTAGTTAATATTTATAATTATATTATTTTAATATAGAAGTACTCCCCTTACTTTCAATTCTTCTGTCATTGTCAAAAATGGATGTTTGGTTTAAAATGTATACCATTAAATTTTATCATATTTACTTTAGACAGTATTGATATCACAATAAATAGTTAAGCATATTTTAGAGCACCTAAGGTTTACTCTTTATTTTGATTCTAGAATGAATATGCAGTCACCATTTTATCAAATTTTTAAGAGATATATTCTTAGGCTAAAAGGAAAGTGGAAATTCTTATATGACAGGCTGGAGAATCTCCATATATTTTTTTATTTCTTTTATTTTTTGAGAGCGAGATCAATTTTTTTGTTCCACTTGTTTATGCCTTCATTGCTTGATTCTTGTATATGCCCTGACCTGGAATCGAACCCAAAACCTTGGTGTATTGGGACAGTGCCCTAACCAATTGAATACCCAGCCAGAACCCTTCATGTTTTTATTAACTACTAGAGATGGTAGACCTTAAATAACAGGGGGGGAAAAATAATGTCCCTAATAAGTAACAGAAACATTCTCTCTGAACTTTCAGTTTAAAATTCTGTGAACCTATATGTAGTACTGTACAATTTTAAAGTAGTTTATACAAGTATATATATAGCTAGAAGAGACCTTAGAAATAATCTAGTAATATTCTACTGTTTATTGAGGAGGAAACTAAGACTCCTGAAATCAGTTAACCTTCCCTTGGTTGCAAAGTTAGTAACAAGTCCAGAAGTAGAAATCAGTTACCTCTCTTCCAGTTTTGCACACAACAGGGTTTATTTTCACCTTTATTCATTTATTGAATTTATAAGAGCTTTCTAACAACTGCTTCAAATGGGTGGGTAATAGGTGGCCAGTTAAATTCTTTTTGAAGTTTCCAAACCCTCTTCCAGATTACAAGCAATTTAGCTTTTTGCTTTGCCCTTATTTTTCAACAGCTTTTCATCACAAATTTTTCTGAGCTTTGTGGTTTTTTCTTTTCTTTAAACTTATTATTCTCCAAGAGATTTTTGTGCCAAGTAGTTCTTTTTATATGATGTATTTTTGACCAATTTAAAAAACATTATTGCCCAGCCGGTTGTGGCTCAGCGGTTGAGTGTCGACCTAGGATCCAGGAGATCGGGGTTCGATTCCCGGTCAGGGCACATGCCCAAGTTTCGGGCTCGATCCCCAGTCGGAGCGTGCAGGAGGCAGCCAATCAATGACTCTCTCATCACTGATGTTTCTCTCTCTCTTCCTCTCCTTTACTCTCTCTGAAATCAATAAAGATATTAAAATAAATAAATAAATGAAAATTTAAAAAACACATTATTGTTTGTCCATATATAGTGCCCTATGTAGATCAGAAGGATTTTTGCCACAAATAAGTAATGAGATTACTCACTAGAGCAAAAGTCGCACTAGCTGCTTACGGGAAGTAAGGATAAGTCTAACCAGGTTTTTTTCAGTGAACCCCAATAAGATAATTTGTTCTTTTCTAATATTCCTTTATATTAAAAACAACTACAACAATAACAACCACCTGGCCTCACCTAATAAGTGATGAGGATGTTCTTTTTTTTTTTTTTTTTTTTTTATTTTTTTTT